TGGCGCCCGCCGCCGGGCTGGCCGCGCGGTTGGCCGCCGCGCTGCGGGCCGACCTCGCGGCGCGCCGGCCCTACGCCGCCTACCTCGCCTCGTGTCGCGCGCATCTCGCGCATACTGACCATGCACTCGCCAGGTGTGTACTTATACAATATAGATTGTAGTGTTTTGTTATTTCGAAAGTATTGTACTTGTAGGGCAGGACATTATTTACTTTATTTAGCAGTAAATTTTACCACCGTACTCATTTAATAGTTATTTAATTCGCTTCTTGTTATTAAGGAAAAGTTTAAGTAGTCATTAAATGTTTCTGAGTGCGGCAGCTAGTTTTGCAACAACATACAATTATTAAAGTGAAGTAAGAAAAAAAGATTGTACACAAAATATCAATAAATTACGTGAAATGGTACTTATAGTGGAACACAGGTACACCGGAAACGATTACTACTGGAATGGTTTTATTCCATATGTTTTAATACAGTAGATAGCAATCATAGATTGTCAATCAGGCCAGAATTGGGTACTTGTCTTAATCAAAAATAAATTATTTCGACTGTTGAATATAATACTGTTTAATAATTAGTTGAAGTAACGAGTGTGTCGTCCAACAGACAGATAAAGCAGTCCCGGTCGGAGTGGTGGTGGTGCGCGGGCGCGGCGGGCGCGGCGCGCGCGCTGCAGCTGCTGGAGCGCGCGCCCGCCCTGCGCCGCCTCGCGCGGCACCGCCACTACGCGCACGCGCACGGCCTCGGTACGGACTCCGCTACATACTACTGTTTCATATTCATCGGTTCCTTATCCAACTAACTGTTTGCTGAGATAAATTAAGGTCACGAATTCTAGCCACGCCTAGAACCCGTAGCTTATACGAGTATATCATTAGCCAGGTCCCTGAGCGACGATCGCCTCGTCGATTATCCCGTTATGCTAAAGATTACAGACCCTGCACGTGGCTTGAAACTAGTTGAAGTACCCCATCAAACATTCACTTGAGTAAGCCGAATTAAACATGTCTTTCAATAAATGTCTACAAATAATGTAAAAAAAAATAATTTGTAATCTTTGTTCCCCAGGGGCAAAAGGTTACTCTAACGTGACAAAACCTTTTTTAAGAACTTTATGATATATGTGTTAATATGTACAACAGGTAGTGAACTAATGGATGAGAAAGCAACAAGACTGACTGCCAGCATCAAGGCTATCACAGCCGAGGTGAAGGCAGACCCCTCCTGGGAAGGTAACATCACAAACAGCACATATCTTTTTCTTTTCTTTTCCTACTAACATGAACATAATTAAATTGATTTCGTCAAACCAGTATTTGTATTTCAATTGACACATGATTAAGATTTTAGCTTTCTGTAACTTCTTTTTACTTAACTGTATGCTCCAATATGATACCAAATCAATATATTTGCGTCATAAATATAATATTCTGTATGTTGTACAGGAGCGACTTCCACCCTCCTGGAGAGCGTGGAGCTGACAGTGGAGCGCGCCGCCTTCGCACGACTCTACCTGCATGTACTGTTCCCCAACGGAGACGGAGACATCGCGCGAGACCAGTCCGTATCTTATCTAAATAATATATAACATAACGCCTTCTGTCCCCGAAAGGGACGCAGTGGAGTACATTACGACACTTTATGCCACTAAAATGTAACACCCACTTTTCATTGTTTACATTATGGGTCCCATGTAATAGGGGTGAGCCTATTGCCATATACCGGGCACAATTCCAGACTCCGTGCTACTACTGAGATTAAAAAAACCCAATAATACTTTGTCCAAGTCGGAAATCGAACCCGAGACCCCTTGTCCTGCTGTCACTCGGCCAACGAAGCAATCTCCTAGACTAATTTGACAATTTTCTATACTTACAAAAAACACTTGTATAATGCTTATTTATTTATTTATTTTATTTATTTATTTATTTGTCTCAGGCATCTTGGCCCATAGTGAAATATACAATAATACAATACAAATAATTCAGGTTGCAAATACTATACACACATATACATAATATTTAATTTTACTGCTTATTTTACACGAAGTATCGGAGTCGTGTGTCGCTCGGTGTCTGGTATCCGGCCTCGAAATCGCCGGAACACTACACATTTCGGCCAAAATTCTTCCTTCATAAGAATCAACAGGTGTTCAGTGGGCACCCTCACCACAAAGGAATTGAAGTTTGTATTATGACGAGACTCCAACCGCTCGACTCTCATGACGAATTTGGATTTCACTCGGATGTACTCTACGATCTCCTCAACCTTTGTAGTGTAATGCAGCCGGGACACGTACAGCAGCGTCGTTGGATTAAATATTATATACCATTAAATCGGTTAATCCACAGGGTGTTATCGGAGCACATCCGGCGCGTGTCGTCGGTGACGTCGGCGCGCTCGGTGGGCATCGGCGCCGCGCACCGCTGGGCCGCGCCCTACCCGCGCGCGCAGAGACATCTCAGGCATCTACCTGTCTACCGCACGCCGCGGGACAAGGTACTAACGGCTCGGTTCTTTCAATAACACCAATCAACTCGTGTCACATCAAATAGTAAAGCGTGCAACTGTCCATACTACTATTGAGAAATGGTACTTCTCATACAGGAAATATTCTCATGCATAATTCTGTTAAACATTTGAGGGATAATAATTAATTTTTGACGGTGCTTTCATTTCTTTTCTGTTGTGTTAAGTGGCCTCTATGTAGAAAGAAATAAAAATTTATTTGTTAGAATAATTATAGTAATAAAAGGTGTTTTATGAAAATTAATGTTTCATACATTCTACGGAATCGGTGTAGAAATTAAACATTAGACTTATTTTCTATTTATAAATATTATATAAACCTCATTTACGAATAATTAAATGTACCTATTTGTGTGCAGCTGTCGTGTATAATGCGGTGCGTGACGTCAATAATGGCAGTGCTGGGTCTCACCGAAGGCACCACGCCCTCCGCCGACGACCTTACGCCTGTACTCGTCTACGTCATACTGAAGGTAAGTGCGAGCACATCCTTAGACAATATGTATTATTATTTATTGATATAATTAACCTGTATGTTTTCTGAACAAACATTCAATGTTATAAACATCCAATTATCCTTTCCCAGGTGAACCCCCCATCATTGCTATCAACGATCGAGCTGGTGAACGCTCTGGGCGGCTCGGCCCTCCAGGGCGAAGCCCTATACTGGTGGACGCAGTTCTGCGCCGCCGTGGCCTACATCAAGACTATGGATTACCCGCGACCCGACAATAACGATACCTAGCCTTTACATACGCGCCTGGTGAGTACACGCGTTTATGAGAATACATTATGTAAAAACATGGTGGACATTCCACCCATTCGAACGAATCGTTTCGCGTCAAGCTTCCTCATGCGAACCGCTAAGGAATGGAATTCCTTGCCAGGGGCTGTGTTTCCCGTCAAATATGACTTGGGTGTCTTCAAGTCCCGAGTGAACAGGTTGCTCATAGGTAGACGTGCTCCATCGTCGGCCACATCATCGCTTACCATCAGGCGAGATAGTGGTCAAACGTCGACCTATAAAGTATAAAAAAAAAAATTACAATACAATTAAGCAGCTTCCAACCAGTCAAATTCAATATATTTCGTTACATTCAATACATCGACTGCAGGGACTACGGACGACGGACACCACTGGCGCGGTGGCTGGGTTGCCACGCAACGTGTCGCGGGTTCGATTCCCGCACGGAACAACTCTTTGTGTGATCCACAGATTGTTGCTCCGGGTCTGGGTGTCCATGTATATGTGAAATTGTATGTTTGTAAACGCACCCACGACATTGGAGAAAATCCTAGTGTGGGGCAAAGTTTCTTTAAAAAATATATGAAAAATAAACAATAAGTACCAAATTTTGTGCGACTGCTATTTTCTGTAAAATAGCAATTATTTCTCTCTTTAGCTAAGGAAATACGAAAATTAAGTCGTATCATCAAACCGATCATAGTAGACATGACATCGTTTGTTTTTGAGTCGGGTTACTCACGTGAATATACTGAGAAATTCTCTAGTATGCAGCGCGACATCGTCGCGACCGCGCACGCTGCTCATGAGGAAGAAGTGAAGAACCCCTCTGTGGTTCGAAACTAGTAGAGCTTTTCTTAGTATATTCACGTGAGTAACCCGCGATTTTTAGTTAATTTAGTATGTCTCACATTTCTACTTTACTTTGTAATGCGACTTTTATATATTCCAGATTTCAGCGCGTGTTCCAGACATAAAATTGGAAATCATTCGCCGCCGGCGGTGCCACACTGTTTGAGCAACGACTACATACTCAGTCATTGTAATGTATTATCTAGTACGGAATCATGTAATAATCATTGTTCAGTAGTAATCGAACATTTAGATTGTATTACGCGCAATTATATTCGTATAGGGAAATCTGTGTTTATTAATTATATGGATTGTCTGATTAACGGCCGTTTTCGAACATTTTTGAGTATTGAGAAGATTTTTTGTAGTTGTATTAAGTTGTGTACTAAACGCATATTTTTCTTTAGTCTCTGTTTTTATATACCTAGTCTACTACAGTCTGCGTATTCATATTGTCTTTAGAATAAAAATATATTGATCAGAGAAAACGGTCGTAACATCTTTGTATGTATAAAATCAAATAACAGCTTTGCTTCAAGTGTCTGGCATTCGAATATAAAACATACCATTCATTCATAATAAAAAAGCCAAATCATAGACATTCTAATGCATTTCATACATTATTTGTAAACCCTCGAATCATTGCATTTTAGGACATACATAATACAACGTGAACACCAATAATAAAATCATTTATAGAACTTAAAATAAAAAGCTTCGAATCAATTCAATTTCAACTTTATTTACTAAAAATAGTGATGAAAATAGATACTTTCCACCGTAAATGAGGTTATATATCTCAACAATGAAATATATAACCTCAATTTAAAAAACGAAGGGTTTGTTCCAGTACTATGATAGTGGTAAGGGTAAATATTATATAATATCGTGTAGATGGTAGTGGTAAAGTGTGCACTCGCAACATGTGTTCAAAGTTTATGGCTTGTACAGTGTGGCAGGTCCATACACCATACAAGAACTCCAATGAGAACCGAGTTCAGTTTGATTTTCCAGTTATACTTTCTAATATCCATAATGAAGTGTTAAAAATATATTAAGTAATTATGTATGTTGTTTTTCTCTCAAAAGACATATTGAACATAATTTATGTTATCTCACAAATTGGCCATACGTTTTGTATGAAGTCAGATGGGCCTAACTCACGCGTTTAGATCGATTCTTTTTTTTTATCGTTTAAGTAAATTGCTGTCGCAATTTTAAATACAGTCTGTTTGAGAGTATTGTATATAAAGTTGTGACATTATTTAAATACTTATTGTTTTAGTGTTGAGTTCCTGTTGTGTTGCTACTGTTGATATTGTTTCGGACGCTCTGGATATCTCCAGACGATTATAATCATAAAAACTAAAATGTTAAGATTTCAATATTATTTAGCAAATACGTCAGTACGTGTCTACGTAATATCACCGCTGGCAACACACGGTCGTATATTAAAGTTTGTAATTATATTTTATTTCCATGTACCTGTTCACGACGGCAGGGTCTCTGCCGGCCCTCTAGCGCACTGTTACCTAGTACGACATCTCGATTGGTCTGTGATTTTAGAGTTGGATAATAAATACTCGAAAATGTGTATTTTTGAAATTGATTGTAGGTATCGAAAGGTGTGATAACTTGATAAGTAAAAAAATGATTAATGTCGAAAATAAGAGGCGATTTTAATAAAATAATTTATTGGAAGAAGTGTACATTTGATAGATTAGATATTGTGTAACTTAGTTAGGTTGAAGTAATGATATCGAGGCGGGTAAACTCGCCCGCGTAAGCTAGCAACCATTGTAATCATTGAATAAACCCCGTAATCAATTTCATCAACTCTCATTACAATTGTTGTAAGTTAAGTTTCATTCGTTGTCTAAGCACCGGTTTACTTCGCACCCCGATTTAAAAGACACTATTTTTGAACTAATTTAGTATATAACTGAATCTTATGTAACAGTAGTACCTATGTAATCGACTAGTTGGTCCGCGTACCAATTAAATATCCCAAGCTTCTTATATACTGCCTGCTCTAAATATACATATACATTGTCAACTAAGTTTTTCTTCTTAGTTTTAGTATGAAGACTTGAAATATTTTTAGACTTTGAATGTTTAGAGCTGGCGTTATGAAGAACTTTGAAATTTGAATTTTAGTAGCAAGTTATGAAGGTGCGTGAATGATTACTCGAATATTTAACAATAATACAAAAATACACATTACCTACATGTTTTTTTGGTCGTCAAAGAATGAAATAGCATTGTAATAAAGCTAGACTAATTATCATCTTTCACGCATCCTCGTAACTTGAGCACTTACTGTCCAAATAGCTTTCTAATCTCTTGCCTAGGTAGTCAACAGACATTAGAATATTATGTACTAACCGCTGTAAGGCTACGTGTCATGTAAACATGTACCTAATGTAATCAGAGCAATGAAATTATATTTAGCAATAATAATCTTGTCTTTTATTTATTCTATAGGAACCCGTAGTTTTTAGTTGACTGGCTTCTACTAGCGTCTTCACCCATGTTACCCATCTGGGTAACATTATATCTATTAACTCGTGGAATGCCGGAACGTAGATCTACGCGAGACACAGTTGTGTCTCATATACCGGCACTCAAGAGGTTAAGGACTATTAGTTATCTATCTATACATATAATAAAACTGTAGAAGTGTTAATTCTGTACATTGCAAATATTAAAAAAATAGTATGGTTGTTACTAGATAGACACTGAACGCAAAATGAGATAAAAAAAAATTGTCTGTCTGTCTTTATGTTATCGCATCACGGAAAAACTACCGGTTCGATTATGATGAAACGTGGTATTATTATACTTCAATATCCTGGGCACAACACTTTTAATCCCGAAAATGTATATACACGAGAAAACAAATTTAATTGTGCGGCTTAATCCCTAGACACAGGGACTGTACCAAACGCAAATATAAGTTTGTCGAATGTTATGTTGCCCACAATGACTTTACGCTGTAATTGTAGGGATGAAGGTTGAAATTAGTTTGAACCGATAATATATATACGTTAAAATATGTGCAGGTACCTATGTTTGTTACTCAGTCACATCAAAACGGCTGAAGGGACTGGGATGAAATTTGGAACAGAGGTAGATTATGGTCTGGAGTAACACATAGGCTACTTTCTACATCTGGGAACGCGGGCGAAGCCGCTGGCTGAAGCTAGTTAAAATTAATACTTATCTCTACGAAGTTTCATCTAAATCCGTTCAGTACTTTTTGCTTTGAACAACCTTTCAGATTTCCTATTAGGTATTGTAGGTTCATTAAGTTACAGTAGAATTTTCCTACAAACAGCACTTTTAGATTCAAAACGATAAATAATTCTTGAAGGGCCCCTCAGATTTTATGTAAGTGCAGACAATCACGTTGTCTAGTTTTGGCAACGACATCCTGCAGGTTTCCCTAAAAGAGCACGTGTCCGCCTGCCTGGGCGAACCATGCGTTCAATGCAGATACGCGCATGCGTACTGAATATTATGAGTTGAAGTTTGTAGGCATGCACATAACCAAAAATCGTTTTCTTATTGAATGTAGGCTAGATATCTGGCAAGTGAGTGGTTAATTACGACGAGTTAAGCTGTAGTGCTAAGAGGCCCGCGTCGCTAGTAATAACAGGATTGTATAGTACGTGACACACCTTCCCAGTGACAAAAAATTCTCAACCCACGGACGAAACAAAATGTGTTTTGCGAATTTTTACTAGGTACATATTTGATAAATCGCTCACTTTATCAGTCACGTCTGGTTTAGTTTTGCCATGCTGCATATTTGACGTGTTCAGTACACGTGTATTGTTTTTAAAGAATTCATGAACTCGTTTGTTGAGAAAACATACTTTATATTGTTCTTTCTATTGTATTCATGTATTACAGCCTAAGTTCTTACAGTAAACACAACACGGGATGAGTTATCTCCCACTCACACCAGCTAAAATTTCGAAGTGCTATGACGTCATTGGGTAATCAGTAATAAAAACACACATATGGGCGTACACAAATTTATTTATGCACTTGGATTTTCATATTTATGTACACTTATAAACAACACGAGCTTTGCAGCAGCAGGTCACTGAAACAAAAAGGAAATTGTTAGAATATGTTCTATTATCCGCATACTGTTCAGTGCAAACAATCATATCAGTTATAGTGTTACGTCATGGCATTCAGCAGTAGCAAATAAAAATAATTACATCATTTAGACATACCACGTGAATCGCGAAAAATGTTCATATTTTATTATGCAACTGCATGTAGGTAGACATGAACAATCAATTATGTAGAAATATCGAAAGTTGCCTGTAATATTTTTGTGTAGAAAAAGTAATAATTACCTTATCACAGTGTAAGTCGGGCTTACGAACGTGGCCTTTCCTTCTTCTCTTTGTACAAGGCGAGGAGGGAGACGTTGGCCACCTTCACAACCTGCACACAAAAAAACCAAATTCTTTAGCACATGGAATAAAATTACGAATTATTAAGATAATACAAAGTTCCACGGAACCACCATGTACAGCAAACTGCATCATGGCGGTCAGAGTAGCAAATTAATACTCCAAAAAATAAGCAAATCATCATCAGGATGACAATTGCCCCTTAGTGAAATTGCCAATAGTCCAATGGTTTAATACTACAAAATAACAAAAAATACCTTACACAAATGAGTGCATAAAAAGAAATGCTGCTGTTATGTTTTATGCTCCTTGATACAGAGTGTGTTTAGAATTCATTGTTTTTTAATTCAAAGAACTTACATGAAAACCACCAGATGCAGAATTGCTAAATTTTGTTGCCATTCAGTGAAACACTGATGCACTACATTGATTTTGACACCACACCCAAACAATAAGATCCTGTAAATGAGCACATGGTCTTACCTTAAATCTGACTCCGGGAATGTCACCCACGGCGTGACCCTTACGACCGAATCCTGCTACTAGGACTTCGTCGTTTTCTTCAATGTGGTTTAGACAACCGTCCCGCGGCACGAAAGCTGTTACTTTCTTGCCGTTTTTGATCAGCTGGACACGCACACACTTGCGGATGGCAGAGTTAGGCTGCTTGGCTTCAACACCACTGCAGAAAGAAAAAAGTAATCAATCGTTTGACACTTAAACCAACATGGCAGACACCATGTGCACCATTGTGCTACACTACACAATGCATTTATGATGCTTTAACGGTTCTTAGTTAGCATTAAAGTTTGTATTGTGCAGTTTTCAATCACATGCATAGAATATTCATGTGTAACAGCTAGTAGCCAGCCAGCTGAGTAAAATTATCACAATTTTTAAACTAACTGATTTTAGATGAACAACTGAAAATTAGGATCTTAAACATTAGTTTACTAGTTACTGTATTTACATTAATAAGGGAATATCTGCATTGAGACTTCATAAAATGAACTGCATACATGATATAATGCCAAACTTGAAAAATCAATAAATGCGCCTCACACCCGTAAAGTAACGGCGCAAGAGAGTAAACACCATGCCTATACATGTGTATAACCTCATTCATAGTTCAATGACCCATGTGGTATTTACACATCTCATGTTTCATGCATTTTGTTTTAATAACAGCACTTTAGCGGTAAAAGACTGCAAGGAGAGTAAAAAGTTAGAAAGTTTCTTTAATTTGCATTTAAAATCAGGCGAAAACAACTGGGTGCTTCATACCCAGTTAGGCACAAGAATCTGTAGATTGAGTCAATGCATTCTTCTTGAGCAAAGTTCTTGTGGCCTTCTTCAGAGTTGTAGACGCCGCCACTCGCAGTATTATCCTGTGATTGTAGTACGAACACATTCACAAGTATAATACTGCGTGCGGAAGCGTCGTCATCCAATCGCCGCGTCCATCTTCGTGACTTCATTACTCAAACATGCAACAGTCCGCTAACTTCGGCAAGCAGTTGAGCATTCATGACACAAACATCTATCGACTTACCACAATCAGGCTAGTACAGTTAGAAAGACGTACTTACACTTTCTCCAGGACGATGCCCTTAGCGTGAGATGCACCACCGAAGGGATTGGCCTTCCACCTCGTACCCATGTGGGCTTTCTTGTAATCTTTATCAGCCCATCGCTGCTCTCGGCGATGGTTCACGTGCTTTCGCGCCGTGCGAATACCACGGGGCTTGCCTGGAATATTGACGGAGCCGGTTATCACTTGTGTTTACGACGCACGACACAGAAATCGATACACCATGGTTTTAACTAGGCAGCGTGATGAGGAAAACTATTATTGCACCTTCTAATTAACGCGGTGATAGAAGGATGGAAATGGATTAGTTTTACACCACGAGAAAAACATGTCTGCGCCATGGCCGACACCTATGCGTGCACGTATTATAAGTTTCAAAATTTTCGGGGTATAATATTTGCAATATTCACTCCTACATAGCATGCGTATTTAATACACTTATACACATTATTTTTAAACAAAAATAATAAATAAACCATAACAAAAACTGCACAAAACTATTCCTTACCCATTTGGATAGCACGACACCAATCGGCTACGGATGGGAAAAGAAATTATCAAGCCACTGACCAACCGCTGGCTTCAAGTTATCACTGCAGCCAACATCATAACACAAATTTTGAGTTGCCATTAATCAAAGAATTCTGAAATCCTTTTATTACATTCAAAAAAAGTGAAATAAATATTGGTTAAATTAATGTAACTAAAATAATACAATAATACAACGATTTTTAATTTCGAAATAATTTAAAATTAATATTTGGGCATAAGCAAAAATAAGTTCCTACATTTCCAAATCATTCATTCATGCGCTATCAAAATCTGTGGTCTATGGAAACATTAATACGCTGTGCTTCTTGTGCTTGCGAGTCTTGTTGTCACTTGTCAGACAGAAATTGATTGTCAGTTTAGTTTTCAAGAGTACCAGTTTACTTGCATCATTTTTATTTTTCTAAACTAAAGATTGTTAGCGTGTTTATCAGTTTCATAATTTTATAAATCCAGCACTATGACATTAAACTTGGGAAGAAAGGACGGCGGTCCCGGATACGTCGGTATACAGTTCTGCCAAGAGTGTAACAACATGTTATATCCACGCGAGGACAAAAACAACAAAGTTTTGTTGTATGCCTGTAGAAACTGCGACTATAAACAACTGGCGGACTCAAACTGTGTATACGTGAACAAAATTATGCACGAAGTTGACGAATTAACCCATATAAACCCAGATGTGGTGAGTGATCCTACTTTGCCTCGAACGAAAGATCATATGTGCCCGAATTGCAACCACAGAGAGGCGGTGTTCTTTCAGGGACAAACTCGACGCGCTGAAGAAGAGATGAGACTATACTACGTGTGCACTAGTTGTAAGCACAGGTGGACTGAGTAAATGTTCTTAATTGTAAGATTAAGTTTTAAGATCAATAAACATAATAATATTATTTAAAGTTATTTGTTTTATTGTGGGTAGCATAGAAATATAGCACCGGTAATAATATTCATATCAAATATTAAAACTATTAACATTCTTGTAGCCATATTCACAGACATGTTGCATATGTCATCAGAAATAAATCAGAATTAATAAATTCATGGTATTTTTCTAGAATTTCTTCCAATATCCATGAAACGAGCAGTCTTGCATGTACACATTATTTCCTCCAACTTTTTGCTTTGTAAATAGTGCTTATTCAGTGCTTAAAAGGTTAACCCATAGTTTGGCTACACATATAATATTTGACCTTCATAAGTAAATGAAAGAACACATAATTTTGAACACTTTATTAACTAAAAATATTGCCAAGCAAATCTGTTCTATACAACAGTTAACAATTCACAGCCTTTTATCAATAAACATTGAGTTTCTACTCAAATTAATTCAATTATTTAACATTTTTATTAAACCATCTTATTACTATAACATAATTGTTTCAAATATATTCTTTTAACACGTTCAATGCCGCCGACACGCCAAGCGTGTTCTTACGAATTTCTATAACTACGCCTCGAACACGCCAGGCGTGTCCTAAATGTTTCAGTGATATTTCGAAAATTAGCCAAAATTGCCTTTTGGAATTCTCAGTACATAATTCGCTAGCAATAACCTAATGATTTTTGAGGTGGCCTCCAGAAAAATCTCTTAAAAAATATATATTTTTTTAAAGTGATTATGTAATGCCGAGAACCCGCCAGGCGTGTCCATTTTAAGGAGTTGTCAACCTTTGAACAAAAATCAATAAAATATGAAGATAATTATCTGCAGTAAAACAAATATTATATACTAGGTATTACGATTAAGTATATAAATTACCATAATAATGTCTTAGGTTTGCGCGAGCACTAGACATAAAAATCGTTGCGAAATTTTTTCAGGGATCGTGGTCTGCTTGCGACCGCGAACACTGAAACGAAAGGAATATACGCGAGTTAAGCCGTTTAAAAATCGTTTTATTAAATAAATTACCATTTAGGAGAGTAATGTTTTGTTTGCCAAAACATCATTTGTATTAATACTGTTTTCCATAATCGTCCCCGCTCATAATATTTATTTGCTATTTTCATTTATTCTGTTACTCGCAGCCATGCAGCCGGCTGCATGTATTTCGGTTTCGGCCTCCCTTACCCCCATTTTTTTGTAGTTTTTGGCAATTCATATTTAATGAAATAAAAGTATAGGGGAGAAAATTATGGCAAACATAAGTATTTTATGAAACATTTTGTTATTGTTGTTAAATAAGTATGCTATCTTCAACTAAAATAGGTATCGTTCCGTAAACTTGTAATAATTGACTTATCTAAGTTAATATTGTAGCCAAAATTGCCTTTTGGAATTCTCAGTACATAATTCGCTAGCAATAACCTAATGATTTTTGAGGTGGCCCCCAGAAAAATCTCTTAAAAAATATATATTTTTTTAAAGTGATTATGTAATGCCGAGAACCCGCCAGGCGTGTCCATTTTAAGGAGTTGTCAACCTTTGAACAAAAATCAATAAAATATGAAGATAATTATCTGCAGTAAAACAAATATTATATACTAGGTATTACGATTAAGTATATAAATTACCATAATAATGTCTTAGGTTTGCGCGAGCACTAGACATAAAAATCGTTGCGAAATTTTTTCAGGGATCGTGGTCTGCTTGCGACCGCGAACACTGAAACGAAAGGAATATACGCGAGTTAAGCCGTTTAAAAATCGTTTTATTAAATAAATTACCATTTAGGAGAGTAATGTTTTGTTTGCCAAAACATCATTTGTATTAATACTGTTTTCCATAATCGTCCCCGCTCATAATATTTATTTGCTATTTTCATTTATTCTGTTACTCGCAGCCATGCAGCCGGCTGCATGTATTTCGGTTTCGGCCTCCCTTACCCCCATTTTTTTGTAGTTTTTGGCAATTCATATTTAATGAAATAAAAGTATAGGGGAGAAAATTATGGCAAACATAAGTATTTTATGAAACATTTTGTTATTGTTGTTAAATAAGTATGCTATCTTCAACTAAAATAGGTATCGTTCCGTAAACTTGTAATAATTGACTTATCTAAGTTAATATTATGAAATATTTCAAAACAACCACAAAATGTTTATGATCTCTTACAAAATTACGAAAATTACTTACCTAAACTTCTATTTTCAGCCATAATTCCAGGTAAATTCTCACTACCGTATTTCAAATCACCTGTATTCTTGCTCAGCGATTGACAAACTAACTAATACTCATCGCTAAACCGAAAAAAAAACAGATTTAGAATTTAACTCCATCGAGGTGCCACTGGACACGCCTAGCGTGTCCATGTTTAACAAGATGCAGTGCCGCCGACACGCCTGGCGTGTCCACGTGGCTTTATAGGGTGGCATCGCTATGAACTTCAAAAAAATTGTGGTGGCAGTGAACGTGTTAAACAAAAATACGATTTTATTTTCATATGCCATTGTTAAACACAACTTTATTAGAATTAGTTAAAAATTGGAATTCAAATATTTTGTAGACCAGAGTTTTGCAGCAACATGCCCATAAGAATTTATTGTTTAAAATTAGAAGGAAAAATTAGAGAAGTGCTTTTTGCACTAATTTGGCACAGCAGTGTTGGAAGTAATTATTACATCAGAGAAACTAAATTGACAATAATTTAAACAAACTAGAATATTATCTAAATCTATGTAGGTAAACACTACTTTAAAATCTACTAGATGTAAAAACAGCCTCCCTATTTCGAAAAGTCAAGGTAATTAGTACATAGAAGCCCAGTTAGATTTTCTAATTTACATCAACAAACATAACTAGCATAGGCCTAGTGTAAAGTTGTGCCCTATAAGCATGTGCAGTAAAGTTCAAAGTCTAAAATCAAGCTCAAACTAGTTATGGGTAGATATTTAGATAATTAGGTATTGGTAAAAGTTCGAAATGGTTTCTACAGACTAGAGAAGGTAAATAGAAAGGAGAGCATTAGTTACAGGAAGTTCTAAATTGAAAATAATGAATGTATTTTTTTACATTTAGGTATGCTCCATGGCCACATTTCTTTATATATGGCAACTGCATCAGTTGAATTATTTCACATGGAATTTATTATTAATTAAAATTTTCCTATACTTAAATAATAACATGAATAAACAATCAACCTTTTAGGCTCACTAAATCTAAATACAAAATATTTTCTCTCGAGTGCTTATAATTAGGTTCATACAATTAAAAATAATTATTTTCATACAACCCTGCAGCTCTTTCAGAACAGCTATCGAGTTTTAAGTTAATTTTTCATTTGCGCTATGAGTAAAGGTTAAATCAACACATGTCGACGAGTAATAATTGACATGTTAACTTGATTGACCAGGATTATAATTTGTCCCAAGACGAATTTAAAATAAAAATGAGATTGTTCAGGTGAATCAAAAGCTATGTAACCTTCTGATTCATTATTAAACTTCAAACTTAGAAATAAACGGTGTCACAATCTGGAAGCTCAACTCTTAATAATTTAGGCTAACTAGATTTGCTTCACATTTTAATATTGGAAAAATAGATCTATTATATTTAATAGATCTATTTAATAGATGCGACTCCCTAAAACTTAACAAGTGAAATTTAAATTTACTCACCAACATTTAGAAGACTTTTTAATTAGAAATTTAAGTAGATATTGTATGTTGCATTATTAAAATTAAAGATAACGTGGCGCCATCTTCACTGTAAAGTATTCAGTGTTAGTGTAAGTGACGTAGATTTTGAGGGTGGCGCCACCAGTAACTAAAAAATGTTTTTAATCAGTATGCACAAACGTATGTAGTGAAATTACAATTTCAATTAAATTCCCAAAAAATCTAAAAGTATAGGTAAGACTGATCTCTTTCATCTCTAAAGAGGGATTTCAGAAAACATATTTTATTGTGTCACGTGCTTTATTTGGTACACATGGTATAATACTTTGTGTTTTCAATTAAATTTATAGAGAATAAGTAATCTGTAGGTATACGATTTTCAATCTATTTTTAAGATAAAATTAGAGTCACGTAACAAGTTCTTTGAGTGAAGTATTGGTTGAAATATCAACCTTTTTTTCGTCACAATGTTATTTTAAAACTAATTTATTAACTGTAACATGGGGTCGGATTCTAAAGGCCAAAGAGTCTAAACCTACGATAATAAATCAATATCTAAATAATTTCTTTTGTATGACGAAATTACATAATTTAATAATTTATGAGTAGGTAACCTAAAGTTTAAATGTTGTTCCTAGCTATTTAGTAATTTACGTTCTCATGTAGCTAACCATTACTTCTAAACTTGTGGTATTTCTCGCGTAAACTTACCTAGTTATAACTACTAACTTGTAGGCATGTGCGTATTACTGTTATTGCTTCTAAGTTCTAATAAACTTTATCAAATTCAAGCTCGGGCAAAACAACCATTTTTCTATAGTATAAAGACAAGCTTGGAAGATAAATAGTTTCTTATAGTTAGAGAATATAATCACACCAATGACAACTATTGCTGACGCGTTGCAACGGTCCCATTGTCTTGGTGTGAAGAAATTTTATGATCACACGAGTTCTTCTTATGACTCCTTTATTTTGAGTACCCGTAATAAACTCCGATGGTTGGTTAGGTCTCAAAATGTTGATATTTTTAATTGCTATTGGTGACGATGCGTTCATTTGAAATTTTAGCGAGTGATCATAATGAGAGTATAGTAGATTGTATTATATATCTATGCAAGTAGCGTGTAAGACGAAATAGCTGTGTTCAAATCAATTAATTTAAAATCTGCCTATAACGCAAGAAAGATGGCGCTGTTTAAAAATTCAAATTGTAAAATTAATTTAATGAGAAAATATTATAATTCTAAGCTACCTGATTATTTGTTGGCATGTAATACTTACTATAGTTCTTTCGAAAACTAATTACTGTGCTGTATGTAGATTTTTTTTGACACCTTAATGTGTTAATTACAATAATTTTTTTGTTTGCTAAGCGGACGGCGGCGTGATTCGAAATTTCGAAGACGGATTATTTGGTGCTTCGGTGTCGATGATTATTGAATATATAGCGGTATGATAACAATAAGTTATGATCATCTTGTTCAGCGGAATCTTAGATTTGGGTCTTATACGACTTCTAAATACATAACGATGTCGGTCTCGTAACTTGAGGTTCGAACATATTCGGACGACGATCCTCAATTTTAAAAGATTCCGTAACAACAAATTTAAAAATCGGTTACAAAAACCGTTTTAACAATGAATTTTTAAAGTTCTCTCTCATTACGTCTTTGGGTTTCGTTCTAAGATAACACAACCAATTCGCACAAAAATCTTTAGGTATTCCTTAGTGTAGGAACGTGGCGTCAATCTTAAGCCTTCTGCCACGTATGGAGAGCCTTCGTCAGTGTTGTGGGGGGGTTGGTATGTCTGGGAAGTTCTCAGGCAGAGGGGGGAGGACGTTCGCCTCGAACTGTCCAGACAAGTTGCCTGGCGGGGAGTAGTTGGCCACTACTATCACTTTACCGTCTCGGGATCGAGCTTTACCGACGCCAAAGAACGTCGTAGCTACCCAAACCATTTGCGTGAAGTGGCCTGCAACATTGAAATAATGAATTATAATAAAGATATTACATAAACAAAATAAAAAATTAAAGATAATACAAACAACGCTAAATATCTATTAACGTTTCCAAATAATAATGTAATTAAAACAATTTGTATTTGCCGCTACTCGGCAATAGATGGCGTGGCATGGAGATATTCGTAATTTGACTCTTATTCTACAACCTTTTTTTGTTTACTGGTATTCACCAACAGATTGCGCTACGTGCACATTTAGTAATATTTTTTCGAATAATTGGTAAATAATAAATAATATATAAAAACAAAATCTTAAAATTAAGAAATACTGTACATATTTCTAAAAACACCAAATTAAAATAAAATAGGGTAGGTGACGAATTTTTATTTTAATGTCCGTCTTGTAGATTATTTTAAAACATTACATACATTTTTTTATTTTTTTTGCAAAAACTAATACTTTCGACGATATAAATTATGTCGCGTGACGACATTTTACACCTAGAAATGACGTTTTAGTTATATGGAGGTATCATTTTATTATACGACAAAATAAAAAAAAATACGTGTCTAATACTTTTTCATTACCTAACTGACGGACTAATTAGATTTTTAATTTTCATACCCTGTCATCATCCCCATTGTCAAATTATAAGTACCTACGTTTATGTACTTACTTTATAAAATATTTTATAAGCAATAAAAATATATGTATTATAAGTTTCGTGAGACATACTAAATAAAATATATATACATACTAATAAATAATAAAAATAAATATTATGTACCTGCGTTAACATTAGCGTGGAGGACATCAGGCTCTTTGAAATAGCTGTACTGGCGCACTGCGGCGTACCAGTAGGAAGACACTTCTTGACCTGCAGAGCCGAGCATACAATGTAATGCAGAGACACCTAAGTAAATCTATTTTAAATTCTATTTTGTATAAAAAAACACCTACTTTGTTATAGAAAATAGTCATCATCCCTATTGTTGGGTGACTGTTAGAGAATACCCAATGCGTTAATGCATACCTACCAAGCTAAACGAATAATTTAATTAATATGATAAACAAAGGTTGGTCTAAGTATCTATTAACTCGTCGAGCACCGTCATTATAGACACAATTATAGAACAATAGGTTGCGGTCACCGGTGACCGCTTGGTGTTTGACAGTTTAATTTATTTTTCTTTTATATTTGATGAGCCGACGTTTGACCACTATCTCGCCTGGTGGTAAGCGATGATGCGGTCTACGATGGAACACGTCGACCCATAAGCAACCTATTCACTCGGGCCTTGAAGACACCCAGGTTATACCCTCCAGGAAATACAGACTCTGGCAAAGATTATTTCAGATATTAAGATCAAAAAATGTTTAATGGTTTATTGCACGGCGGTTATGTACCTGTGACATCTGGTTGGAGAGCGCTGACGGGACGCTGGTACAAGTTCTGACCGACATCACGATCATTTCTGTAGTGGAACTTGTTAGTGTGCGCCAGATGATTCGCCCACGCCTGTGCGTAGTCGCATAGCTGCAAAAATTAACGTCGTGCATAAATTGAGATCGTATTTTTCCCTATCTCTTTAATGGCAACTTGAAAAGACCATTCCTTGGTGGGCAAAGCATTTAAAATATTGCGCTCCATCTAGTTACATTGACTCCACGGTTGGTGTGGCAACTGGGCAACTGGCTGCTGCGCAACGTGAAGCGGGTTAGGTTCCCGCTGGAAAAACTATTACTTAATGTCATGTGTGAGTTTGTAAACACACCCTGTCATAGTAGAAAATCTTAGTGCTAGGCAAAATGATTTCATTATTACATCTAACTTTCTAAACGGTTAGCAAAGTGTGTAAATGGATCCCAAAGGTAACTTTCATTTTGGCGCCCACCGTGGGACCACCAACGTCGACGATAATGGCGAATATTTTAATGTAAGAGCAACAATGTCAACATAACCACCTCTGGTGCCATGTAGAGCTGTGGCGCGCCGTGTCTCTGGCGGTAGACGTTGTGCCAGCACAGACACTCGGTTATGAAGTCACTGTCCTGCCAGGCAGTGCGGACCTCGCTCCACTGCACCACCATGCTCACTGGCTTGGATTGAAGCACCTGCAACGTATATAATGCAAACGATTTCAGTTAGGAACGTTCGCTATTTAAAAATTGATGGTGTTTATCTGTATAATGTCATCAGATCATTGTTTAAGAATCATGGATTCTGGTCAGGATTTTTGTTTTTCATCATGTGAACACTTATTATGGTAAGTCTATAATAAAATTTACAGATCGTCGAATTTCTCTGAATTGTAATGGTTATCGTTTTTAATACAAAAGCAAGAAGTACGTCAAAGTCAATCCATTACAATTTACAACAGCGTCTCAAATCCCCTTTTTCTTAGCGATATTTTTGGGTTTGAGCCAAATAAATTGGAGGACCGCTCCCAAATAGGATTTATGTGAAATATGGCACACATGTAGGCACCTATATAGTATATACGATAGTAATGCAACACACGAGGTGCTTGAATTTCTACGGTCTACGTAAGTGAATGCGGTGATGCGATATTTTCGGGTCACCTATTTTATATTTTGCTTTACTTCGAATAGGTACTGCTTTTAACGCTGGTAGTGGTAACTGCTAAAATAACTACTAATCGTATTCAAAAATTAACGTTCACTTTTTTAAGAACACAGAACCTGTCTAGAACTGGATAATCGATAAAATAATGAAAGACAATACTACATTGCCAAAAAATATAACGTGAAAATTCGATCTTTACAATCATGAATCATGATTCAATCTCCATAATTCAAAATTTTACAAGAAATAAAATATGATACGCAGCCGTTACAGGTAGAATAATGGGACGAACCTTGTTTTAATGGCTCATCAATCAAATGAAGCACCGGGTGTTTCTCCACAGTCCGAGGAAGCCAGTTGGGTACCTATTTTGAATAATAAATACCTTCTCGTCTTTCCAACATATTTTTAAAAAGGTTCATCGGTACCTAGTGTACCTAGTACTCTCCTATTACTTACAATTTTACTAGCTACAACAACTTATCTCTGCAATACTGAAAAGACAATACCGATTGTAAAACAACCACACAGAAATAAAATTACGGGGTTCATCATTTTATAATTTTTTTTTAAGATTTCATTAATAATGACTCCTTCAGCGACAGATCTCATTGTTATTATTTTTTATGGGATCAGCTGGTATATGAGTAGACGGATCACTTGATGTAAGCAATCGGCGTCGCCCATGGACATCTGGAAACCCAGAGACCTTAGCGTTACAAGTGCGTTACCAGCCTTTTGAGGATTAGGAATTTAAGGATTGTTGGGTATTCTGGGATCATTGTGAGTTATCTTACAACTAACTTCTATTCAAACCATTAAAATCAGTATAGATTCGAGTTTAAACTACCAAATATTTAGGTCTGCCTTGCATAAGCCCATTACGTTTTGACTTATTCGATGTTATGTACTTAAAACGAATTCAGTCATAAATATGTCACCTAAATATTTAATTACAATATTTCGTGTAGAACATAAAACGTTCTAAATGTCGTCTTATTGTGTGGGCGTCATCACTCAATCAAATGCAAATATGCAGCTTAAAATAAGTCGACCCCGAGTGGTTCGTAGCACGCGATTGGTGCGGGTAACAAAACGCTTAATTTCATTTTAATTGGCGCCATTTTTTTCGCTATGTTGGTAGTGTTGGTACACTGTTGCAGGTAAAGTTCAAAGTGTATTTTAATGAGGCACTCGTTTCGTATTACTTCAGTGAATTGGCCAGATTAAAATATTCTCTGGGGAAAAACTGTGCGATTTAATTTTATTCATTTTGTATGAACATTTATTTAGCTGTGCTTTTTAATTAATTTAACATTTCTTTTGTAATTCAGATGGTTTTGGTAATGAAATAATTAGCAATAGCGCTTAGCTACATTTTTGAACCCACAAAATTATGTCATCTTTTTGTTAGATATCAAACAAGAATGCAATTTGATTATAGAATGAAAAGGAAACACTTCTAAAATATTGTTGGTTATTACCTTCTTTCCATAGTTAATTAGTTACGTATCGTTTAGAAACTTGTTAATTAATTTAAGAAGATCGTTGCAAAGTTTTGCACTGGCTACGTCAGCACTACCTATTAATAAAGGGTGTTGATAAAATAAAACTTCATCTCAACAGTATCGTGGTTTCATTATAAAAGTTGATAAAAGTCGGGGACTTTGTGGATGGGCGAGGTCGAGCGGCTCTCCGACTTCTGGCTGAAGCCACAAGGGGGGGCAAACTCTTTAAGACGAGTGGCCGCAGTTCTCATTACTCTAAAAGCTTGGAGTCGCCCACGACCCAGGCACAAGTCACAACTTCAGGCGTATAACAAATATCCACACTTATTTTATTTACAGTTCTAAGATATTTTCCACTCCTAGATTTATCTTTTGCAGGCGTGCGGAGAAGTGCTCTAGTTAAACCTAACTTATGATACTGTTGGGTCTCAAAAGTATGTTTATTATTTGTCCATAATTGCAGACACGGGGCACACACAGGCCCATCTATCTTATAGATACCCAATACAATATACATTACACAAAATATCGAAATTTTACTTTCTTTGAACAGACGCCTAGCACATCGAGCTTATCTAAACCATTAAATGTTTTTCAACGATTTTCAACTTTATTGCAAAATCACTAAATTTAAAATCGATTATTAAACATTTGTCAACCCTTGTGTAAGAAATACTATATCACGACATACGTAGCTATTATACCAACAAATTATTTCCAACGGCTAAACATCCATTCATATAGTTAAAGAACGTGGATTAATGTCCCCCCGCCTTACACGCCCAGTCTTCAAATGTTCACGCTTGGCAAACTCTGTTTGAGTCGCGGCTCCGCTGCTGTACGGAGTAAATTGCTCATGAGCTTGAGTTCACCACCTGAATCTTGTTATAATTACCGTCTGCGAGCGGGGAGCGTGGCCCAGAATTAATTGAACGTTAGAAATGGTTTGCTAAGTTGGGTATCCTCCCTACCTACCCATATCTACATTGTAGGTACACTGTAACTTTGACTTGAAAAAGAAATATCTAAAACATAGATTTTAGCAATTACAGCTTCTAAATCGCCTTAAAACAGCATAGAATAAGTAACCTTAGTGTCGATCAATCGGCGCGTCGCGTTTCGCGCGCGCGCTTCAAATAGTCATCAGACCACCACAGATGGGGACCAATAAGTAGGGCTGATGCCGAGCCGATACGGAGCCGCGGAAACTGAACGGATTACCGGAGTTCCGGCTCGAAGTGCAAGAGTAAGAACGAGGTGGTTTTTAGTCAGTAAGAGTCTGACGCTCGCTCCCGCCTCACCTAGGCGGGAGAAGTGATTCGATGATTTAATCCCCTTAAAAAAAGTATCGATCAATGTTCAGCATTGGGTGCGATACCTATTTAGGGAACAGTAGCAGAGTGATCCTAGGAACCACAGAAAATTACGAAACGAAAAGCGAAAAGTTATATAAGTAGGTACCTACCTATAATATTACGAGATCAAAGACCAAACAATTTAGGTACTGTAGCACCTGCGTTGTCAACAAATCATTATAAACAAATTGCTTTTCTCAAGAACGACTTCAAATAAGTATTTCAAGATTTTAATAACATTCACCAAAGAACGAAACATGAACAGTTAATTACTTCAAGAATTCAAAAGTACCTAAATTGATTGGAATACAGGTAGGTTATTCTGTAACTGTCAAATTCAAACTTTCGCAGTGAGCTCGACCGCATTCCCTCGCCTCGGCGGAAAACAATGACGGGCGGGAATCCCACCCGATCCCACCCGTCATGGCGGACCACGACCAAGTTCTTCGATGTTTCGAAAGTTACAGAATACCCTATAGCTTATTCGTAGTTCTGTGAATAGATTTAAAATGTCCTAGTAGTTATATATTAAAGTGAACAGTAAATAAAGCTGTTTGTTGCATAAATGAAGGTCACGATCACATGGCACGGTGCCAGCAAACCGCCCCCTATTTCAATGAAGACAATTTCCATATTTTTCAATACCTAAGTATCTCAAGTTACGCAACTCTTTGGCTCTCCGAATAACAAAAAATCAAAGCTAAAAAAACATTTCGGAAAATATTAAAGAGAACATACTGCGTTCGTTATTTGAAATTTCGAATTACGTAATTTGCATACGGTACACGTGTGGTGAGTGGTCTATGCGAAAGTTTCGCTATTATTATTCTGTGGTTTTTTTGACATTTGAGTTTTTAGTGGTGGCAAGATTAAAATCAAACATTTAGTCACAATTTACCCACATTAGTTGATAAGGACATTGGAATAGCTTAGTCCCGCTTAGCTTAGCTCACTAGTTGTTATGGATATTGGAGTAGTTAGCTTTATTAATATAAGTAGGTAAGTATCCACCATTTACCAAGTACCAACACATTAAAAGCGACCCACACAGGTCAATATTTAGACAAAAACTTAGATAACCCTATAGTTATGATATAGGGTTCCCTCCGTGATAAATTACAACACCCACTGGTTACCGGCAACCTCGCCTCGCTTAGACACGGTTTCGCTACAAATCCTTCAATTAATTGGGACTCCAATACTATATATACATCCTAAAGTTCATTACAAATTGGACAGTGGAATTGAGTCACAATATTGTAGTTTGGATCAAAATCTATTCGACTTTGAGCTTAAATCTTAATCAAGAAGGATTGATGGATGAAATCAATTATGAGTTTAGAGGCCGTGTTCTGCGCTCTGATTGGCCGGCTCCATTGAACCAACCAATCAGAGCGCCGAACGCGGTCTCGGTGCGATTATTTTAAACGAGAAACAAACTCGTAATAAGGCCTTAGTAATATTTTAGTATACCAAATCGTGATCTTGACCCAGCTTCGGTCAGTTGTTATCCTTTCACTTTCGCTATGATCTTATATTTTTATACAAAATACGAGTTTAGGTTTATATCTAATCTAATGAGGTTATCTAGTATTTAATCTAATGAAATCTGCAGTTGAAAAACTTTATCCTAACCGTACCAGCGTAGCCGATACTGAGCCGCGCAGAACGTAACAAGTTACCGGGGCTCCGGCCCGAAGTGCATGAGCAGGAACGGGGTGGTTTTTAGTCACTAAGAGTCTGATACTCGCCCTCGCCTCACCCGGGCGGGAGAAATAAGTCCATGATTTTTCCCCTCTTAAAAAAAGCTGCTTAAATATACTTCTAACACCTCGTGCACACATATACACCCAGAGGCCTACATAAGTATTATCTTTCTTTAAAGAACTTAGTTCATATAAGATCTGAATGACTGCATTCACGGCCCACGCGAGACACTATGTATTTTCTATTGTGTCTCTTATCGGTGCATTCAAGCGGTTAAAAAACACCGTACAAGGGTAGCAAACAGTGTAATAAAATACATGTTCCTTCAGCAAGGCCTACTTCAAATACCCAATAAGAAATATCTCAACCGACGCACATATATACGTACCACTAAATAAACATCATTAATGTTTTATTTACGAGACGACTAAATCGAATTCGAAACAGCCTTTTGTCCTAAATCTTCTAATTAACTTCGTTTCGACACAAATAAGGGTGCTCAGGTCAAGGACAACTCAATGGGGAAGTTACGACCATTCCCAGTTCAGAAAAGTTATTTCATTTCAAATTATGAGATCACTAGAACGACTGGAACGTGGAATTTTGAATCAGACGTAATAATAACGTTTTATAATGTAGATTGAAGGACGACCTCGCGAGCCACAGATAATAGAATAGGTTATGGTTGCTATGTAACAGTAAATGACCTGTCTAAGAAATTTTTTTTGAAACGAAAATTAGTTCTGGAATAATGAGTCGGTTTTATTTTATTGACATGTTAACTATGAAAAATGCGAAAAATGCACGCTTGCTTAACTAAGCACAAGTGTTAGCAACTGCTTACACCGTCAAAAAATTTATGTAATCGGTCATTTCGCAGATCTTTTTTAAATTTAAACTCGTTTAGGTCGACTCATGACTTCCTGTAGATAACTTTAAAATTAAATAGAGAGCTTCGTGCTGGAAACTATCGGACGTGATGTAAAAAGGTTATAAAATTTGGATGTCTACGTACGTAAGTAAGAATATACGGCGCTTTTGCGGTGTAGTTGCAGTTTCAACGTTCAATATCCGCACAGACCCGTATTTCCAATACCTAGATAGTCTATGTACGTTGTTACATCCACCCACAAACCCAGCTACTTCCTACCGCCAAAACTTAAAATTCAATATGGCGGACTCTAGAACATTGTGTACTGAGCTTTATTGCGCCATTTTCCTAAGTTGTTCGTGTTGTGTTGTTACTGTAAACCTGTCATTATTTGCCTCCGTAATCTACAAAGTGTGTTGTAAACAATCGGAACCGTCATTTCCTGTCGAAAGTGGTGTAAGGAATGATTGCCTTTTGTTTTGTTTTATTTACTAGCTGTTTACTCACACTAGAAGACTAACATGTGAAAATGATAGCACACTAACATGTGAAAATACGGTGTTTGTGATGTATTTCTCTGAGAAGGTGCTATATTATTTTGTTTCATTTTTCTGAATATCGCTCTGTTTCATACTCAGGGGAAATCAACAGGAGTATTATGAATATAAAATATGAAATAATTTTACTATATGCCGTGGCGTATGTCATATTATACCGTACCAGGGTAATTTTTGGTTCCATATTTTATTATATCTTCTAAAGCGACATTCTTAGGATGTAATCTAACAGTGACTTATCATACTGTCATAGTCATAGGTTCCTACTACTGATACTGGCAGAGGTCCAGATTGACCTTCGGTCTTGGCTCTCAAAATAATTTAATTCCAAAAAATATAAGTAATGTATCTTATTATTACGTGTAACGTTATGACAATTTATTCAGTGTTAGCAATAGGCATGACATAAATATATCTAGTACCATTCCTGACACTACATCACCCAATGTCGCATTTTACCTAATTCGTCTTCAAAAGCCTCTCACGGCTCCCTTGTTTTACACGATAAATCTGAAAAAACCCTTTTCTTTAGCCGAGGGGTGCTTAAATCTCGATGTGAGAGACGCACTTGGCCCAGAAATTGGTGACAAAGTACCAAATTATCATGCAACCCGAACATCTAACGACTAACGAGGTTTTCAAAGAAAAAAAGGATTCTCCTTGGACTTTGTTTCTGTGTTCTTGGCAACTTACATTTTGTGATGAAGTAGAGCGGGAATGTTAAGGCAAAGTTCGATATAAAGATAAGGTCGTATAGTTGTATGTATGTTATATTATGTAACTAGTCTTGTTTTGAAACCAATATCGTGTAATATTGAAGCTTTAAATGTTAAATAACTGAAGACATGTTTGTAAAAATGAAATACGTGTAGGTTAATAAAGTATCTCGTATCGTACCTATTAGAATTCCATTTAATCAACTACAAGCTTCTATCAGCGGCTTCGCTCGCATTCCCGTGGATAAAAAGTAACCTATCTGTTATTCTAGACCATATTCTACCTCTATTCCAAATCCCTATTATAGTGTAGGAGAGCCATACTACCGGAGTGATACCACGGCCTCACAGAAGACCGACGTAAAACAACGCTTGCGTTGTGTTTCGTCGTTTGAGTGAGGTTACCGGAGGCTTCATTATCTGGGTTTATCTAGGATCTGCTAGCTAGGTAGTTTGGGGCAGTAACTGATCTTGGAAGATTTTATCTATTATTTCTGGCAATACGGATGCGGTAAAATAGAGAAAATGTAGGCTGATGTGCAATACCTGAATTCGCTCATTATACCTAATGACAAAAACCAATAAACCAATTATATTTCAAGTTGGAACTACAAATTTACGCTGGTTTTTTTTAAATTTGATGGTCCGTTTGACCTCTATCTCACCTGGTGATAAGCGATGATGCGGTCTATGATGGAGCACATCGACCCATAAGCAACCTATTAAGTTAAGTTACTTATTCTAAGATGTTGTACACGAAATTCTTTAAGTAATATAGATATAGGTACCACGGTATGTATAGCTGGCTGAGTCCAATATTATTGATATTCGGATATTAATAATGGCCTTGCCTAAAATGTCCTCTTCCGTATTTCGGGACCATTCTCGGTAGATTAGTACTAACGAGTTTTTTAAAGCGAGTGGAAATAGTTTTCCCGTCGAGATAGTGCTGAGTCAGTGATAAATGAACTTGTGGTGATGTGGCCTTTTTGTACGGTCATTTTTTTTGAGCCTATCCGCTTTTTATACCTACGTATGTACGTTGCATTATAATCTATATTTCTTCATCAGTTGTAAAAAGCTCTGTAGAATATATGGCGGTGATTGTTGTAGTGGTTCAAGTACGGAAAGTATTTCGTTAGCATTATTAGGTTGGACTCATTACAATATTTAGTTACCTGTACTGTACCTTATACTAGTAAACAAACTAGTTACGGACTAAGGTACCCAAATAAATTGTGCGTACAAAACGAAATAACCGACGAAATAAATATTCACACATCTGTAGACATAGGACCACTGATACAAACAGAAACAGAAATACATAGGTACGCACTCGACTCGACCCTCAAAAACAAAGCTTAACAAACTCTACAGCGGTTTTTAACCCATACAAAAGCTCCGAAAATATCTCACTACGTACCAACGTTATATAAACACATAATACCTACAAATGTCACCCAACGTTATCCAATTCCCAACTTTGAGGAAAGGTTTCCCCTTTTTGTCACATCATAGGTCATTTTCATGGTTCGAAGCGGCTCAGTGAGCACGATCGGTACCTCGCCGGTAAAAACACTTCCGTATCTCAGGTCAAGGACGCGTGCCATTTCACGAGATCATAATATTATGCATATTACATTACGTAAACAATGAAACAACTCATATAGGATGTACAGTTCTTACCACTCTTACCATTACCAAACTCGCCGCCATGTTTAAAAGTTTATGGACGTTACCGCTCGTTCTTGAGAACAAGTTAAATACGTTATTTTTCAAAAGTTTCAAATTAAATTCGAACATGTTCGTAAAACTTTTAATGAGGCTGATACACCTTCAAGACCTTTTTGCGCATTATAAATACTTATAAAGCCGTTGTAAAGGTAAGTTAAAATCATTTAATTTAATTTTTTTGTGTTTGGTTTGCGACCAACGATTAAAAATATCTCATATTTATTTTATAAACTGCGTTTAACCTAGTACTCACCCTTTGTAAAAGCTTGGGCCGATTGTCGAGAGTCTCTTCATTACTATTCTTATTTTGTTCGTTGTCGTTTTTATTAGCGTTTCTGTGAACAAAATATTGTATTAATACCAAATAATTAAGCATGCATGAGGACCGATGTGGTTCATAAACAAAAAATGTGTATGTAGCCTATGGCGGCAGATATTTAAATATAATCTTCAACGAGTTATATGGTCCAGCCAACCATTGTTTGTGGATATGTTTTATGTACGCTTGGGTCCCATGTTGGGCGCTAATATAAAATTCAATAGCTAACATAAAGGTAATATGTATGAAAAACTAAGTATATAACCTCTTTTAACTCAAAAAAATCTAGGTTATATATAACCTTCATATATCGCATACTGTGTACTAAGCTTGCTAGTAGCATAATCATAATGAATAATATAGTGCCGTCCAGAGCTCACTGCCTGCTGAAGCCATTGTCATTGTGTAACGAGAAGGTAGTCATATGCAATGTTAATAATTTAGTGAGACATTGTTGCTGAAGTGCATTTGTCGTGAGACTGCCGAGCTGAACTTGATACTATCCGGTCTCTGGCGTACCTATTTTAAAAATTCAGTACTAAAGCTATTTATACGAAATCGTCTCTCGTCTTAAAATATACCCTAAAGCTGCTCAAGTGCCGATTCGGAGCCGCGAAGAACTTAACGGGTTACCGGGGCTCCGGCTCAGAGTGCAAGAGTAGGAACGGAGTGGTTTTTAGTCAGTAAAAGACACTCCCTCTCGCCTCATCCAGGCGGGAGAAGTCTTTAGATGATTTCCCCCCAAAAAAAAAGCTGCTCAAGTAGTGTAGACATCTTAAAGCTGCTTAAACATACTTCTAACACCTCGTGCCACACATATACACCCAGAGGCCCACATAAGTATTAGGTATCTTTCTTTAAAGAACTAAGTTCATATAAGATCTGAATGACGCATTCACCACCCACCATGAAAGTAGTATAAAGTACCATCCATATGTAAGCCCTCTTCGACTTTGATTAAACGAGAACGTCGCTCGGTGTAAAGTGGTTGAGAGGTCAAGCACTGGAGCGGTTTAAGACTCCCTCTATAGAACGAACAAATAATTGCACTTCAAGAATGTTTTGAACAATTAAGTTTAAGCCAGTATGTGTAATGTCAAGCGCGCCATATTTATTTTTGTTGAGTTTGCAATAAAGCGTATAATAAATAATAGGAATCAGTGATACATGTTGACTTTATTGCATTGGCAATAGCTGAAAAAAAATCATTTTTGAAATCGGGACATCATGGAATAACTTTTATAATTCGAAAATTAAAAAAAAAGACCTCATGTACTTGTAAATGATCAAAAAAGCTCAGAGAGTAGTCTTATCGATAACTTGAGGTTCCTTCTCCTGCACGTCGAGCCGGAGCCCCGGTAACCCGTTACCGTACAATGCTACCGTACAATGTAACACCCACTTTTCACTATTTATGTTATGAGTCCCATGTAATAGGGGGTGACCCAGGTGACCCTATTGTCATGTACCGGGCAGACTCTGAGCAACTACTGAGATTTTTTTAAAACCCAGTCATATATTGCCCGACCCTGTACCCGCCGAAGTAAGACCGCCAGTCGCACTTGCGACTAAACGGCAAATGAGGAAGTCTTATACATTAAACGGCAAATGAGGAAGTCTTATACAAAAACGGATAATAATATAATAATAATAATAAAAGCCTTTATTCAGATAAAGATAGAACAACAGAACAATTTTACAAACTGGACTTAATTTATCGTCTCAGCTTAATTGATGGCATTGACATCTTCATCTGTTTGCCCAGCTTTGGCAAAGGCCTCCTCCATTTTTTTCCATTCTGCTCGATTTAAAGCTTTTCTTGTCCATGTTTTTCCCGCTGTCGCCGTTATTTCGTCTTCCCACCTTATAATCTGTCGGCCACGTTTTCTTTTCTTGTCTCTAGGATACCAATACACTATGTTTCGGTTCCACTTTGCGATGCCTCTAATCATATGCCCCGTCCATTGCCATTTAAGTTTCCGTACTCTAGTTGTGACATTTTGTATTTTAGTGCGGTTTCTGATGGTTTTGTTACGTACTCTGTCCGATTTCCTCAAATTTAGCATGCTTCTCTCCATCGCTGTCTGGCAAGTTTCCAGTTTTTTGGTTAGCGCTTTAGTGAGAGCCCAGGTTTGGCAGCCATAGGTTAGGACAGGTAGTACGCAGGTATTGTAAAGTTTTGATTTGACAGACATCTTGATTTCTTTGTTCTTCATTATCTCTTTTAGTCGCCAGTAACATCTCCATGCGTTTCCAACTCTTGTATCAATTTCTTTTGACATTATATCACTCATTGAAATTTTTTGGCCTAAGTAAGTATATTCTTTGACATACTCGATTGGTACGCCGTTAATGATGATTGACTCTTCAGCCGCATTCGTTAGAGCTTTTGTTTTGGAAGTGTTCATCGTTAGGCCTACCTTGCGGCTTTCTCTTTCCAAGTCCAGAATCATAACTTGTAGCTGTTCCCTTGTTTCTGCGAATAATACAATGTCATCAGCAAATCGCAAGTGTGACAGTCTTTCTCCGTTTATATTTAGACCATAGTTATTCCAACTTAACTGCCGGAATATACCTTCTAAAACGGCTGTGAATAATTTAGGTGACAATGGGTCTCCTTGTCTCACCCCCCTGTTTATTTTTATTTCCTTCCCTTCCTTTTCCAACTTGATTTTAGCTGTACTGTTGGTATATACGTTTTTAATTATTCTTATATACTTTTGTTCGACCCCTTGGTTTTTAAGACAGTACCAGATATTCTCGTGCTCAATTGTGTCGAATGCCTTGTTATAGTCGATAAAACAACAGTACAGCGGCACATTAAACTCTCTACTCTTCTCAATTACTTGTCTCACTGTATGTATATGGTCTAAGGTTGAATAACCTGCCCTGAAGCCCGCCTGTTCTCTTGGCTGGTTCTCGTCTAGAGTTCTTGTTATTCTGGCTAATATTATTTTGGCGAAGACTTTATAAACGTTGGACATTAGACTAATGGGCCTGTAGTTATTTATTTCAGCCTTGTCCCCCTTTTTGTGGAGCAGAATGACGGTTGAAGAGGTCCACTGTGACGGAATTGATTCAGTGTTCAGAATTTCATTGAAAATATATGTTAGCAATGGTGTAATGTAATTTCTGCCAACCAAAAGTAATTCATTGTCGATCTGGTCGGGGCCGGGAGCTTTGTCGGTTTTTTGTGTTTTGATTGCCTTATGTACTTCTTCTTCTAGTATGAGTGGGACTTCTTCGTGGTTGTTTAGTTCAGTATTATCCATAAAGTTCTTGCTGGAATACAGGTCTTTATAGAAGTTTGTAGCTATTGATAGGATATCAACCCTCTTGGTTGTAGTCTCACCATGTCGGTTTTTCACATTAGCTATCCAGTTGGTTTTATCTGACAAAACTTTAACGGCCTTTTTGATTCCCCCTGTATTCTTGATGAACTTTTCGAAGGTTTCAAGTCTATTGTGTTCTCTATCTTTACGTATTTGTAGTTTTATTTGTTTACTCAGTTCTCCTATTTCGGCTCTGATATTTTTTGTTTTATTTGTTAGTTTAATTAGTTCTGATCTTTTTTCTAGTAATTTTCTTGTGGTTTCTGATATATTTTTGTTATTTTTAGGTACAAAAACGGATAACGACACCTAATTAAGAAATATGAAATCAATGCTTTGACTGTGACTAAGTATTATTATGAGCCAGAAAACCGGCCAAGTATGAAGAAAACGACGGAAATGTTGCCCCTTTCAAGATAACCTGGCTATTCTTAGAATATTGAGGAAACTATAAGGGGGCATTCCATTGTTACACTTATCTGCCCCTCCCCCCTCTGGACACCTTCGTGAACCTTGGCAGGTATTGGAGTGAAACGCCGCACGCGATGTGCAAGCCAGATCGCTAAATTGTATAGTGCCAGCTAAATGGCTGGCGGTTTGAAATGCGAGTGTTTTATTCAACAATATAATTGAATGGTATAGTGAAAAGGTTTAGTAGTGTGATATAACGGATTTTTATACTATGATGAATTCGCTTAACTTAAATTTTGGCGCCCAACGTGGGACTCATAAGATTGACTGTTATAAAAGGTCGAGGGAGCAAGAGAATAAAGAGTTTGAAGGCAATATTAAGAGCTCATTGCCATTCTTCCTATTGTAACTACTGGTGCATCATAAATTTTGTAACATTTTACGACTAAAGATCACAAATGAATATTGAAAATATTAAAGTGGAATGACATCCCAGACCCTGAATTCGAATCCGAGACCCCTTGCTGCAAGTCGCAAATGCGACCACTCGGCCAACGAGGCAGTCTTGTGTTGTGTAAAGTGGAATAATCTTAAATAAGTACCATAAACTATTATACACCTTATATGTTACAGTGCTACTATTATTATAACATCTATTGTCAACGTGTCACAAACAGTAAATGCATTAATTGAATTTGAATTAATCCAATATTTTTATAGTCAGATGTAAGCAAAACTAATAAACACCGCTAAGTAAAACGAGAAGCTAATTTTATATGTAACCAAACTGTGGTTAAAGGTGTCGTAACCAGGGTAACCACAGCGTTGTTTGCATTTAATTTTCATTGGGTAGGTCGGTACTTGCCTTTATTTTTTTCTCTATCATAAAATTATTATCTATGCCGAAGTAGCTCTAGAAATGGACGTCGTGTCTTATTGGATACTACACTATCAATTACGTTGGCGTCAGAATGCACTGAGAGAGATGTTAGTTAACTCAACACGCCATATTATAGAATTTCTTATTGGCGCCCAACTTGGGACCAATATTTTTCATATTAGTTTTTTATTTTATCTTGAAATTCACTTACCGTTCAGGTTGCAGTAAGGCAGGTGAGACCTTCTTCCTGAGGTTGGCGAGCGCGGTCAGCTCCTCTCTCTTCCTGGAGGGGGGCGGCGCGCCGCATAACGTCAACATCGGCGTGGGCGCAGGCTGCTGGGTGCGTGATAGTAATCTAAAGGCAAAACGTAAAGGCATAATAAATAGTTTATAGAATATACTATATTAGTTAATGAGGATTTTAGGGAAATCGTTATTCTATAGTAAATCCTAATAATCATTTGCGAAATATTAAATACTCAGAGGTTCATCCACATCAATTTGTAAAGTTAAATAATTTGATGAATCATTCTAATTGCTGAGTTTGTGAGATTGTGAGCTTTCATGCCAAAATTCCTCATCGTAATATCCCAAACTTCACAATTCTCATTCTCTCTTCATTGGTATTGAAAAATCTATTCAGACCCTAGCGTACGGCGCGTCGCGTTCCGCGCGCGCCTCAAAGAGCCATCAGACCACCACAGATGGGGCCCAATAGGGCCGATGCCGATTCGGAGTCGCGGAGAACCTAACGGGTAACCGGGGCTCCGGCTCGACGTGCAGGAGAAGGAACGGGGTGGTTTTTAGTCAGTAAGAGTCTGACACTCCCTCCCGCCTCACCCAGGCGGGGGCAGTCATTCGATGATTTTCCCCCATTAAAAAAAAAAAAAAAAAATTGAAAAATCTATTGACAAAATGTAACAATAGATACAACGTGTTACATAAGCTTAATCCAGTTACATAAGTTACGTAGCGAAAAAAGCTGCAACTCGTAGTGATGAGCACGTATGTACAATGTGCATATAGATACTCATATGTAGGTATGTATCTGCTACAGCCATCACTTTGATACAACCAATTCTCGGTGAACACAGAATATCTGGATCCGAGTCTAGAACTATAATTAGAATCTTATTTTATGTTACGTCATTTATTTTGGTAACCTCTTTTAAGATCGCAGTCGAGTGGTGTGGACCTCTTAAATTAGGTACTCTTACCGTACAATTCGTATGAGTGTAGACGGACATTTGACAGATAGGATGACAGTGGTTTATAAGGATTTTTTTTGAGCTGCAATCTTTAACCCACCCATTATTTTTGTTTTTATGGGATAACCTGGGAATCGAACCTACGGATTCCCTGATGGTAAGCAATCGGCGTCGCCCATTGACACCTGGAACACCAGAGGCGTTGTAAGTACGTTACCGGACTTTTGGGGATTTGAGGATTGTTGGGGATTCAGAGATTAGGGAGATTGTCTGCCAGTCTACCTTAGGTAGGTACAGCGACAGAACATGGTATAAGTTGTAAGCTACACTTTCAGGTTATGGCAAAACCTCTTAATAAATATTGATGGTCTAATAAAACTAAAATAAGAAATCATACAACGAATAAGGATTATTTTCCGAATTCAAAATCTATTACTAAACTATACTAACTAATTCGTACTCTGTTCCTCGACTGTATAAGAGTTACACTTCCGCTCTAGATTAAAAAGCAACCTAAGTACTTAGAAGTGAAATTTATAGCTTCACATAGGTAGAAAAGAATAATTCAAGGTGAGTTCCTTGCAGCACCATTTAACTTTCGATTCCCTGAGGAAGACCGTTCAGAATATATCGCTTACTGTAACGTCGGGGTCACCAGGGATTATGTTATGGGGACTTAGTTGCCGTTGATAGTTAGACATTATAGTTTACACTATAAAATTAGATGTAAACATCTTTCCTTCTAGTAGTGAGAAGTGCAATGGCTGAGCAAAGGGTTTCCGGACAGATTTACGGGCAGGACAACTTTTATTCGGATATTGTTAATTACCATTTTTGAGGTTACCCCCATGGGAGACAGTCGTGAAGTTATGTATTGTGTCCAGTGTATCGCAATAGGATAGTGCCCTAATAGTTGAAGCTTCAGACGTAAGTGAAAAACAAGGTTTATTTATTACTTGGTACACAAAGTTTAATTACGATAAATATGATAAAAAAGTAAAACACTTATAAATAAAGCAGTATTAAATATAAAATATTATTCTTACAAGAAGACGATATTTATCATAAAATAAAAAAAAATGTAGAATATTCTCCTGCAACAGCGGGGATTGAAACAATGGTCTAAGCTAGTCGGCACTTGGACAATAATTATGCCATTAACGGTGCCAAAATATTAAGAAAATAATAAGTAATTTATCTTACAAATAGACACTATACTTTTGCAATTCATGAAATATGTAAAACTAGTTACAATCGGCATAAATACATCCAATTATTAGGCAAAAATAAGAAAGCAAGTGTCAATCAGAACTGCGAAGTCTACTTATTCTTTCTTTTATTTAATTCATCAAGCACAATCGGGCGTAATATAAATTACTGTCAATTCCCAAGATGTCACACTTCGATGTTCAAATCAAAACCGAATACTGATTACTCAGAAAATAAACAAAAATACCTTTTAGAGGCCGGCGTCCTCTTCGACAGTAGTGTGTAGTCGTAGAGATTGGAACTCGACGGGTTGTTGTTGAGAGGAGGCGGGTAATACGAGTCTTCATCTTTATAATTATTGTTGACTAGAGCAGATTTTAAAGGTAATAACTCAACAGTGTCGTTGGGACGGTGTTCGCGTGGTGTTGTCATCGCGGGACTGGCATCGTGCGGCCACGCCGGCTGCTTGCAGCCTACTGAAAGATGTGTCCTTGAAAATGGTGCAGCGTAGGGCTGGGTACCCACAGTTATCTGTTGTTATCGAGGAAGTGCATGATGACGAGTGCTTTTTCACGAACTTGGCTAACTGCCTAGTGTCCGTTCCATGAGACTTATTTCGCAAAAAATAAGGTGGGTATTGATAACCTACATTTTGATTACCGACCTACTTGTATTATCTAGCTATTATCTGATACTGTTAAATCCTCAAAAAACAATAATAACTTAGTTCTTCCAAATTAATTATTTATATACCAAATACCTTTAGCATGATAACAGAAAGTAGAATTATATATACCTATTTAATTGTCTCTCTTAACTAAGATATTAAATCACGAATAAATAAATTATTAATATTTTACAGACTTGATAAGCACATCACTAATGCCTAGAGGGGGAGGTGCCAGGCAGTTCTGTTGCGAATCCCGGGTCGCGCATGCGTACAGATTTGCGCTTTCTGCTGTCATTTGGAGCCATCCTCGATAGAACAAGACAATGCGACGTTCTATCTAACCAAACCACAGACATTTCTTCAGCTTCAGGTTTTGGCCTCTAAGTACCTAATTATTTATGACTAGCTGGCCCGGCAAACTTCGTACCGCCTATAAATGTTTTTTCTCACCTTTTAAACCTTCCCTGGACTTCCACGATCATTTTAAGACCAAAATTAGCCAAATCGGTTCAGCTATTCTCGAGTTTTAGTGAGACTAACGAACAGCAATTCATTTTTATTTATATAGATATCCTAGCAATACGATGGATATGATTGTATTATGCGTTAAGCAATTTAGAATTTTGCCAATAAAATAGAGGTGATATCTTATGAAAAAGTCTTTTGAGATTATAGTAGCAGTAGCACTCAGTTAAAATTTTAACACGCTAAAGATTAATTAGAGTGTCAATATGTATAGTATCAAATTTATTGTATCAATCAGAATGGAAAAATACGGATTCAAATATTGGCGCTGCGACAATCATACTATTATTGTATATCCGTTTCCGTTGACGTTGACGACATTCCCACGACATTTGACTGTGTTGTTTGATCCATAGACTATATAGTACAATGTTGCAAGTAACAATGAAAACAAACTACATAATTTATTCTCGTCCCTTTAGTTAGTTTATTTGGCCATATTAAACTATCAAACACCAAGCGGTCACCGGTGACCGCAACCTATTGTTCTATAATTTATTATTGTGTCTACAAAACCGGTACTCGCCATAGATGTATAATAGAGCTGAGACATAGTTACTTATCTATCTATGATCTACCTACACCTTGTTCATTCATTCGACTAGTCGACATAAGTCATTTTTTATCTGTGGATTCATTGATTGATTATGTTTTTGATAGATTGATACACGGACTATTTTAGTGTTTTGCTTCATGTCTGTTTATGAGTAATACGGAATTACTCATTATTGTGTGCAATTCAGTTTTTCTTATAATAAACAGTACGCAGTATTACTTGTTATATCGGTTTCTGTGTTGTATTCCTTCAGAATCCCAAAGCCTTGTTTAAAACGGTATGTATCTAAATTTAAGTATTATATTTTCTAGGTAAGGATTCTAGTGTAATTTAAATGAAATAGTTTTCAAATTATGGTGCAATGTAAAGATTACACTCAAGCGGATAGTATTTTTACATTGTAGTATTTTATATTATAATCTGTTTTTATTATAGTCTTCACCGGTTTCGCATGTCCTGTTACCCGACTTTGCCGGTAAAATTATTATCGAAGATAAATTCCTATAATCCGTCCCCAGACAAAATGGAACACAAAAAAAATTAATAAGCTAGTAAAAGGATACTATATTGACCGGGTGCCATTTATAAGTTACTTGCATGCTTCTATTTTTATGTAATTTTCGAAAAGATAATAAATAATAGATAATCTTTGCTTATTCACCAATTTTGATAAGATTGATGGCTTAAAGAAACGAAATGTACCTACCTGTTATAATATTTTCTGTCTACCTACATGTTTTATACTATAACAAAACTTTAATCCTATTTTCTACGTTTAACAACTTTATTCCTAGACTAGAAGAGCTGGTGACCGTTTGTAATATCTCTAGCTAAATTTTAAATAAAAACTGTAATCGAATCGGACACCATCTTTAATAAAATTTTAATAATTATATTTAATTTACAGAGAACCATGGACCATGAAGCTTTTATGGATGCGGAGCCCTTTATGCACCGGTATGGAGAAAGTTCTAATTCTAGCTCCAGTTCCATTTCAGAAGAAGTAAGACCTCAGGTATGTATCATCATATCTTCATTGTCAGAAAGAGCAGTAATAAAATACAAATCTAACTAATGTTATTTGATTTGATCCTTACTGTGCGCCAGCAGCCTATTACCATATACATACTGATAATGGTTTTAGACAACATCTGGAAATTGAAAAGTCCAATGATTATATTTTACACTTAACCCATGATATTCTTTTTAACTTTCAAATTGTAGAGTTTCTTGCTCATTCAACACCTTGGAATGTGAAAATAGCTTCACTTTTAAATTGCTGTTGATATTCAATTGTCTTCCTGGTTTAATTAAAATACATGATTTTGACTTTGACTACGATATGTCCAAGACTGGAAGTTTAATATTTTGAAACCTAGAAAAGAAGCACATAATAATGACTATAAACCTTGTTGTTTGAAATAATATCTGTATCAAGTGTGATCTTGCTATTTTCCAGGGTCCTATTGGAGCTGTGTCAGCGGCATTCAAATGTATGACTAGTAATGCAACCAAGCTCTGCGTTCATGATGCACTAGTCAAGTTAAATGGGACTGGGGACTATGATATTGGAGGCACTTATGCAGATGACGATCCAGAATTTTGGTTCTTCTATACCGTGTCTGTGTGTCACGGAGACAACCGCCTACTTAATTTATTTGTGTGCCATAGGAAAACTGGAACATTTTCCATAGAAGTAGCAAGTTCAAGTGACTTGACACAAAAAGTTGCACCGGGTGATGATGTTCCCTATTTGTTACTGCCTCCAGATATGGTCAAATTCAACTTCAAGTCCATCAAAGCAAATCAAAACTATTTTATCAAAACTTTCTGTTTCAAAAAATTAGATAGATTTAATAAATCCTGCACTTTATTCATACCAATAAAAATAACAGTAAGCCCAAAATTTGAACTAAACAGTGATATTGTAAAAGCTATCAAACTACAGCATGATTTAAGTGGTCTTTTAACGAAGCAGGAAACGACAGATTATATACTTGAATCTGCTTCTCGAAAACAGTTCCCAACACACAAGATACTGCTGGCTGCACATAGCCCGGTGCTAATGAAAATGATCAAGGAGACTGATGTCCCCTCATTGTTTATTGATATAACTGATAAAGATATGGAACTGCTTTTAGAGTTTATATATACAGGAACAATAAAAAATATATTGGAGGAAGACTGTGTAAAGCTGCTACAGATAGCTGATAGGTTTGAGTTGACTCAACTGTTTACTTTAACTCAGCATGTGATTGGTGACCAAATCAATTCAGAAAATGCAATAGAGATGGCAATAGTTGCAAAGAAATTTAAATTACAAGATTTAGTGAAACGAGTTTATACTTACATTGCGAAGAATCCGAAAGTGTTAGAGTCTGAAGGATGGAAGAATCTACAGGATGTTGATCTGGCTAAAGATTTGTTCCAGTTCTCTCGAACCATGATACAGTCGGTCATAGAGTAAGTTGAAAATAGAATTTAAGAAAGTACAATATTTTGTCATATTTTAATACTCTACACTTCATTTTTGATACTCAATATTTGGTATGATTTTATGATCACTACAATGTTTGTTTAACTCTAAGTCTTGAGCGTTGAAGATTATAATAAAATCTTATAACAACATTTTATTGTAAATAGGTATTATAAAGTTACAATTTAGGTAATTACTAAACCAACTTTGGTGACACTTCAGTTAAGCCAGGGGCTTAGATGAAATGATATATAAAATGTTTTTATTTTGTTATTATTTTATTATTTAGTTTATTTCTATTTTATGTATGTACACATACACACTAGACAAAAACATATGTCAATATGTTGGTGAATAATTTGGTTATGTTTTAGTGTTTCTGTATTTTTGTAAAGCTTTTTTGTATCTTATATTACAGAAAATGTCGTGTGTGCTCCTCTAATTTGGAAAGAAATTAATGGGATGTTAAATAATGTGAATGAAAAGGAATGGTATTGGACATGGTAAAGGGCTGTGATAATAGTTGGAGCATATTTTTATACTGCGAGAAGCTAAATGATAATCCTATAAGATACTAATATTGGCACAAATGCCTTTGATAATTCTTTTATTGTTTTATAGCTGTATTTTTTTATTTTGAATGTATTAAATATCTTTGAAACATTAAAGTGTTTTGTATACCTATATGAACTCTTTCAAAATCAGTTTGGTCATCTTATTTAGTTATCTTGTTTTGAATGACAAACAATCCAACATCTCTGGTCCTATACAAAACTCTCAGATGGAATACTAGTGGATATTATTTTTATTATTACAAAATCCCAATTGTATCAATAAAATTGAATTTTGTATTTTTTCCTTAGTAAGTATTCAAAGTCTGGTAAAAATTTTTAAATGTTGATGTGTAAAAGTGCTGATTTGCAGCCTTTCTACAAAAATAAATTCATTATTTCATTTAATTATAAAACAGTTATTTGATGGCGTTGTTGCATTGGTCTGTGCCACCCACGGTGCAACCCCGTCCAACCAAACAAGTGTGGGATCTCTGGTTTAATTTTCGAGTTCAACTCTGCATTATTCGAGTTTTCTTAAATAAACACTTTGAACTTAGTTGTTGAGTCACGAACCTAGACATTTCGTCGGGTAGGTACAGGGTCTTTTTTTTTTAAGGGGGGAAAATCATCGAATGACTGCTCCCGCCTGGGTGAGGCGGAAGGGAGTGTCAGACTCTTACTGACTAAAAACCACCCCGTTCCTTCTCCTGCACGTCGAGCCGGAGCCCCGGTTACCCGTTAGGTTCAGGTACAGGGTCTACTGGTACTCTGATATATGAAAATAAGTCGCCCTCTCTCTACCCTCCAAAATCTTTTTATATCTATTGCGAAAAGAAAGTTCAGAAACGTTAATTGATTCGTCAGAATTATCCTGTCAGTGATATATAATTAGATCAGTTCTATTCTCTAGGTAGGATTGCTGTGGGGACAATTGCTACGAACATCATTGTCCATGATTTTTTTGCTAATATGCCAAAAATGCCAATACTAATTATTTATTTGTCGTTATTTTAGGTGATTAGAAAATTTTAATAACAGAAACCATACAGACAGCGTTATCGATTTTTTAATTAATTAAATTGTGATTTTTATTATAATTACCACATTTTTTAAAAACCAACAGTATTTTATGTCAAAAGCCTGTGTTTTTAAGATGGATTAAAAAAGTAAAAAGAATGAACGAATGAATGACATCAGAAGTTTACAAAGGACCATAGACAATGTTGGCTATATTTTGTGTCACCCATACATACTATTGAAATTCTCTCTCCCTCATCCCAAGATACCCTCCCGTCAAGCGTGGCTAATCAAGGCACGAAAAGGTGAGGTTTGTCATCATTTTATTGCATTTAATTCTGTTTATTTAGCATATATCTCTTCGTAATCATAGTGAATTTGGTAGACCGTGTTAAGATTTCACTGTGAACTAACATAAACTCGTGAAAAAACAGGTGAAAACATTGGAATGCTTAGAATTTTGTTGTAACAGTGTGGACTCCGAAGCGTTGGATTTTTTATGTCCGAAACTCGGAACAGAAACGGTTTTCGCTTATCAAACCATCTTATTTTTTAGGAAAATGAGCAGCTCGGAGGAGGTGTCATGGATTTCATGGTTTTGTGGACTTCGGGGAAATGAGTTCTTTTGCGAGGTATGTCATTCAAGTGTAGTTTCTTAGGTGGTGATGGCTACGGATATTGATCCAACATGTTACTGTTTTAGGTGGATGAAGATTACATTAACGATAAATTCAACTTGACGGGACTAAATGAGCAGGTGCCACACTACAGACAAGCCCTGGACATGATCCTTGACTTGGAGCCTGGTGAGTACATATGAGTACATAACATAATATATACCATAATACCAATCATCATAAATGAGGCAGACTGTTTTTAAACTGTGTTGCTTTTACATTGCCATGTTAAAAAAAGAATGTTTAATCAACAAAGAGCTCAGAAGATACTGTTCTACTTTCAAAATTATTTACAAAGCTAACCTCTTTGCATGTTTATCCCTACTTTTGATTAACTGGACTCTTACAATTACTAGCTACAACATAACCTTATTGTAATTGTTAAATATCTATGTCAATAGAGATAAAGAATGCAATTTACTTGTAATTACATTTGTCTTTTGGTATCAATTACCGCTAATCACCAAAGTGGATCTATTAGGAGCATATTATCAACTCAACAAAGACTGGTCTTGTCTCATTACTGAAGCCAGTTACAAACAAGCTGACTTAGGAACTTATTAACCCGTTGATATCCAATCCCCTAAATTTGGTAATACAAAAGTAGTCTCTAAACATTACAAATAAGGTCTATAATGTAATGTAATATTAGTGGAAAGCGGTCACCGGTGACCGCTTGGGGATTTATGGGTTAAATATAAAGTACCATATAGTTCATTGATAGACAATTTAACTATATTGACTTTTCCAAACCCCCAGTATCAGCTAGTTATTCAATATGCCTATCTTTTTCTCAGGGACATTATAATGTGTATACTTTTTTCAGTTCTAATGAAACAATGTCTTATCACACAACCTTGTATTATTTATTGACGAAACCAAAAAGCATTTAATTGTAGACATGTCTATCAAAGCAAAGAAACTAATTTAGATACATGATGCAGACTATAATTCCATATTATGTCATCATCTATCCATTGCTAGACACAGCCATGTCCAGTAGCATGTCATTAATAAATAATATATGGTACAATTTTACATGTATAAATACCTAATTTATGTATGTGTGTAAAGATAAAACAATATTTAGTCTAACACCTACACCAAGTCTTGAGCTACTGATATGAACAGTGAGTCATGAAGTAAATATCTCCATGTAATATACAATTGTACTAAGTTGGTTTGTATCAAATAAGACTTAATTTTTTGCACCTAAAATAAAAACTATCCTAACCTTTGTGTTTTCTGTGTCACATTGGAATGGCCAAGATGTTAATCTTAAAGTTGTAGAATCCGCTCCAGTACCTCACAGTATGATCATATATCTTACTGGGAATAAATAATATATTTGTATTATATTGTTCACAGATGATGATCTTGATGACAACCCAAACCAGTCTGATCTTGTAGAGCAAGCCTCCGAGATCCTCTATGGATTGATACATGCTCGCTACATTTTAACAAATAGGTAAGAGTACCTATATTTACTAACCATTGTTAGTCCGTGTAACTACACTTAGTTTTTTACGCTAAAACATTCCTTTTCAATGTGTGACATAATGATAAATTTCATAATGTTTGAATGAACGCAATATCCTACATGGTTGGTAACACACTCTCGATCCCTCCGTCAGTGCAAATGTACTTGGACTATGCTCGCCACACTCCAGCAGGCAACTTAAAACTGAAAAAAAAAAACAAATGATATAAAACTACATAGTTGATTGTAGTAATGATAGTTGTCTCGTTGTCATGAAAAATAAAACAATCCTATTCTAGAATATTTTTATTGACTGTTTAATATCACGCGATGACCTTTGTGCACGAAGGACCGCACGTACTACTGAGTAAAATAATTATTAATATAATTCGAACTATACTATAAATAGACTAGATTTAGTTTTGTTTTCGACTTAGATATAACATTAACATTCAAGGTGTTAGTACCTTGACATTGTACTATCAAATTATACAGGAGTAATCGAAACGCTTCCAAAAAACAGACAGATGATGGGACAAAACAAGTTTTATTTTCATAAAAGTAAGGAATTAAATGTTTCTTTTATGAAATAATAGTTGCTAACAGCATATTGTATGAATAACACGAAAACAAAAACGATGAATTGATTGTAAAAACATTTTTTCTTCTGTGTTTTCGGGTCCGTTCTGTTTACATTCCGTATTAATGGATTGATTTGGATTAAGATTGATGGGTTTTTAAAACTTTAGCATGACTGTTTGACACTTATAAAATAAACTGTAGAGAATGAATTATATTGTTAGCTAAAATTGGTATATTTTATGCATTCAGATGCATGCATTCTCGAGTAGCTAACTTCACTCGCATATTATTCATAGCGTGGCCGATGAGCGTCAGAACCTATGGACCAATGGAGATATTAGAAATATTGAGTTAAGAGATATTGATGTTTAGAAAATACCAAAATGCACTAACTTTTTTCTACTATTTGGTACTTAACTTCAAATATTATATACCTTGAACAGACAGCGAAAAAACACGAAAGTAAGTGGCATTCTGAAAGTACGACCGTCCGACCGGGCAACGCATAAGCCTAAGTAATTTACATTGAATTGTGGACTCGAAAATACCAATTTTCTCTTGTGAATTTCATCCTGTGGCAATGTTGGGAATAAAAGTAGTTACAAATGCTGTTTTTAAAGGGATAGGTAAGCTTTGTAATGGTGAAATGTGATCTAATAAAAAGTTGTATCATTTACATAAATATAGGTACTACTAGAGCAAGAGTGAGTGTAACTACTGTAACTTATTTATGCATTATTATTATTATTGTAATCGATATAAAATTGATGCTTCAAATACTTAGATATAGGTTCGATAATCAAATAAAAGCTGTCTCGAAATGATAAATTATAATTATCTAAGTAGGTAGATCGCCACAGGAAATGGTATGAAGTAATTAAAATATATATACGTCTGCCTACATTGTATGAAAATTTTTCGTGCATGATACCTATCAAAAGTATAAAAGCAAAAGGAGTTTAGCGCTATTCGTGCTTTACCGACACCAAATCGTTGACCTCTTCTCTCTTCTATTTAGATAATAGTATACATGTGAAAGTTTTAATGTTACTCATTCTCGTTATGTTATTCACGCGAGACCGACAGAATGTACTTATTTGGAATACTCGGATGAAATTTTACATACGACTTTACAGTTCATGATTTGAAAATTATGCTTTTTACAAATATCCTCGTAAAAATATCTTCTACTCGTACCGCATGGAAAATAATGCCATAGAATAACTTATGAGGCATTTGTTTGTAAAATTAATTAAAATTATAATGTACTAATTATTTCATTCGTTATATTTTACAGAGGCATTGGACAAATGTTAGAGAAATTTCAAGCGGGCGACTTCGGTCATTGTCCCCGAGTGTACTGTGAATGCCAATCCATGCTTCCACTAGGTAAGTAGCCATTGCAACTATTTTACTTTAATCCGTATCATCACGAGTCCTTCATTTTTTATACATGATTACATTTATTATCCAAATCAAGACAATGTCAATCACCAACATGTACCTACAATTGAGCCTAACACTTTTTGCAATGAAATAGCGACATTTTCTACTACTTATTACAAAAACACGTGCAATTTGCTTGATAATGCTGACATACAGATCACAACTTCCTCTTATTATGTCATTACGAGTTATGTACGTCTAAAGCAATTACTATTAATCAGAAGTCATTTATAAAGACACAATACGTGCACATTAAAAAAATACGTAACAATGATTTACGTAATTTATTCGATAAACCTTATTGTTTCGGTTTACGGATATAAGAGAAAAATACAAAAACAATAATATGAGAACTTTAACAATTTGGAAATCTATTCAACAAAAGCATTTACGCGTAATTCAATTTCCTGACATCTACTGTGAATGTTGCAATGTTCCTTACAATGCTTGTAATATGTTTGTAGGTCTATCTGACGTTCCCGGCGAGGCGATGGTGAAGCTGTACTGTCCGCGCTGCATGGACGTGTACACGCCCAAGTCCTCGCGGCACCACCACACTGACGGCGCCTACTTCGGGACCGGCTTCCCGCACATGGTATTCATGGTCCATCCCGAGTACAGACCCAAGCGGCCTGCTTCGCAGTTCGTGCCTAGGTATGTATGCTGATCTTATTGATCATTTATTGAACAGTCATTTATCAAGAAAAAATAATCTCTAGTAATATTTTTTGTTACTATAAGTTAATTTAAAATAAAATGTTTGATGTGTAGTTAGCATCACCAGTAGTTGCAGCTCTCTACATGTCTTCTTTCCTGTGTATGCGCTTTATATGTGATGTTCATACTTACCAAGGTAACATTAACGTCGCCAGGTTGTACGGATTCAAGATCCACCCGCTCGCATACCAGATCCAACAGCAGGCGGCGGCTAACTTCAAGGCGCCGCTGCGGAGTCTCTCGTATAACAACGGTAAACGCTAGGCCCGCGCCGCGCGCGACCGAGCGCCCACTCCCGCACACTGATACAGAGGCTCCCTCACGCGACCACATGCCACGTCACCGCGCTACGGAACGCACGCAGCGGCGCGCTCTGTGCCTTCCCTACCGCTCGATATACTCATCTAGTTTCATGCTGCGAGCACAACTCCGGCCCATACAAGAACTGCGGCTCTTACTTGTATTTCTTTGATTTTACATACGTCAATACAAATCGTGAAGATTCTCGCCTAAAACAGTTCTTTTATGACGGTTTCTGTCTCGTATGATGAAGTTTTGTGTTCCTTCTGTTTCTAAATCTAACTTTCACGCTTACAATAAGCTTCAGTCTGAAGTGTTACTAGTGGAAGTTTGGCTTACGTCGGTAGCTATGTGTCGGACGCCGGCCAGGACGTGGTGGTGCCGGCGAGCTCGCGCGTGAGTACTCGGGAGCTGATCTGTATCAAGTAACATGTGAACAAACAGGTGTCTGTACTGTGGACTAAACTAAACTCGTCTGCTATAACCGTTGGGTCTGCTATCGCTGTTTAACACACCGACAGAAGCAGAGGCGTTCCTAAATAATTGAATACTTACACGGGCTATTCTGTTTGTCGTGGGATGTTGTTCTGACTATTAATATTATGATAATTACTACCTTGTGGCCAATTAGTGATATATTAACACTCTATTGTAACTCCAGCAGTTGGATACGGCATGTTATGACATCTCTCGAGTGAGTCGTGCTCATTATAAGTGAAGACACGTATTTAGTTTAATGAGAATTGTCTATAAAATCATAAGTATTGTAGTAAGTAAATGCAGTGACGAGACGTAGCAATATGTATGTAGCTTGCATTCTAATTTCAAGTAATAGTAGGGGGTTCATGTATTTTTATTTTTATATCCGTTATCAACCACTAGGATGTAGGTGATCATTACATGGACGCGTATTATTTTCATGAGAGATATTATTCTATTTCGTTCTTGTGTACCGGTTCCAGTAATTATCAATAAACGATAAGACAACTATTGGCCTTTTTTCTTGCTTCTCCTGCATGTTGACCACGTCGAATCCTCTCGCTGACCGCATTACGAATGGAGTTATAGATACCGTGTGACACTGACCCTTGACAGCCATCGTAGCGTCGACTAGAACTTACGACGGATGTAATGTGCAATAGAGTACGATTGAAATGAGTACCACTTTAGTTAGTAACGTAAATATCGCTATTTCAGTAGAAGCAACGCTATCTCATGGACTGTTCACATACAGTGGGCTGCTACCGGCTCCTGCTCGAAGCTTGAGTTGAGTCACAATGGTCGTTGAGACGCTTTAGGCTTGTCGCATTGCCTGCTACGCTTGTATACGATTGCAATACAGCTGAGCGCCGAGCCGCTTCCTAGCGAGCCCATCGCGATGTGAATGGCCCATCGCATCACGATACTCGGTCAATTAACAAGAGCCTTTGTCGCACCACACCCGATCGTTAATCGTCGTGGACTAACATTTTAACAGAAGAAAATGTTTGTTTGCCGCAGAAATGAAGACTTCGAGTAACATTCCAAAATGATTATTTAGCCAACGTGTGCGCCGCTCGCAGGGCACGTGACAGGGCATAGCTCCCTGCAGCGGACTGAGCAAGTGACCTGCGCCGACGCCTCACTTGTACAACCTATCTGTCTACTACGAGTAACATTCATTACGATAATATTTATTATTTAAACAATTAATTTACTTCCCATATAACAATACAGTTATGTTTTAAATTCAATAAAGTTTATTTTTACGTTTTCTGTATAATATGTTTTTCATTTATTTTGTGTGTAAAATAGTTTTGACATGATGTTGTAATAAAAGAGACTTTTTTATAAACATAGGATTATCATTTATTTGGTTTTAATTTTAAACATTCAAAACAATATGTTCCAAATGGTTACTTGTATGACAAAAGTAGGTCTTAAAAGTTGTACTTAGTAAATAATACTTGAAACACTACTTTGGTTGTGACCAAGCTAGACCATTACGTACTTAACTAGATTTTAATTTACATTATAGATATCACATGAATATTATCAACATTTTACTTACATATTATGATACAGGATTATATAAAATTACTTCAATGAAAATGACTTAGAAATATGAGCAAGTTTTCTATATGTGAACCAAAATATGCTCACATCAACAACCTGCACTCTTTTACACAATGACAGTAACTTCCTCGCATGTATATTGTTGTACAAGTAAACATGCATACAACTAGACTCCTTCACCTAGTCTACTCGGACAGAAAACAGCACAATTGTTTGAGCAAATCATGATTAGTTATCTCTTCAAAAGTGCTGCTGCTTAAAATTTCTTTATTTTCTTTTATAAATTTCAATGCCTCAGTTTTAAGAAAGTCAGACTCGTGCATGTCAGCAATCATCAAAATATCCAGTGCATTGTCTGGACTCAGGTGTTCAGATAGAGCATACTCAGATAGTTCCCACAGGCCTTTCAAGTTAAACCTATCGGCCAGCATCAGAAGGTTTCCAAAATTAGCATTCTCCAAGTCTATTACTGTTCCGGAGTATATATACTCTAACATGTACCGGAGATCTTCCCCGCTAACATCAATTAGTTTAACGTAGCTGTTCTGGCTCTCAGCTGTGTCCCCCTTTAACATTGCCTTGAAAACTTCACTGTGGGATGCAAGTATGACTCTGTGTATCTGGAACTTTACTCCATCTGCAGATTCTATCACAAAGTCAGAGCCAATAGGTTCCGCAAACAAAGCACTGCAATCATGTTTGAGTTTAATACTGTTAATAACTTCCAGACTAATATCTGTACTCTCAGTAAATGGAAATGAGACAGCAATGTGCAACTTCCTATTTTTCAAACATTGTATGTCTAACTCTGAGAAATCATAAGTAGTGAGGTAAGTGTGTGACATCTCACCGAGTTGTCTGAACTGAAACTCTTTCAGGTAATGTTGCAAGTACACTGTTTCCGTTTTTCTGTCAACTTTAAACTTGTTTCCACAGCTCAGGGCTACATTAAAGGAAGTCACACCTTGATTACGAATAAATATATGTAGGAGGAATGTGATACCAACTTGTTCTGTTTTGAACGAGAACCAGTAGTCTGGCACATCTTGCATATAAGTGCCGCCGATGTCGTAGAAGTTCGGACGGTAGAACTTCTGATAGATTTTATCAAGTCGCAGCCATTTCACTTCGCGGGTTTGGCACGGACGGTGCCCATTCACCACATCTGGTGGCTGCAGAAAATTATTGCACAAGGTATTAGTCATTCTAAGAGATATACAAAAAAAGGTGGGCTTAAAATACTTACAATTATGTTAACTTGATCTGCATGAGGGTCCAGCACCGGTAAATGTTGTTCATACATGGTAGTTATGTTTAATGGGATATAGTATTTAAAAAATAGAAAAAACTGAACTTAACTATCTACCTTCTATCAAACAAATCAACAGAAAAATAATGCCGAAACTCCGAAAGCCGAAAGCAATCTCATTTGTCAACTGTCAAACTCAAAATGTCAAACGCCAAAGTGTCAATCTGTTACATTAAAACTATTCACATCGCAGAATAGTAGAATGTCTATCTGTATATTATTATCAATCGGTCAGTAAATTCAAGTCCAAGAAACAGAAGATGCTTTGATGCTTTGCCTAATTAGCAATGAAGTAAAGACTTTTCTGGAAGAGTTATGGCAATTAATTAAGTGGCAACTTTGCTTAGATCGGCTGTCACATTGACAATTTGACAGTGCATGGATCTCGATTGTTTTTAGAATTTTTCATTTCACTAATCCGCAATTTTAATTTGGATAATTTCCTAATGCTATGACAATTACTGAGGCTCTAAGCCTCTATCAGAATGGTTCTAAACGCCGCTGTGCAGATGTTGAGGTAAGTGAGAAATCTTTTCATTGTAACCTAGATTTTAATTAATTTCGAAATTCTGAAATATTCTATAGTGAGGTCAATGGTCACTAATGATTATATTTTGTTGAATAAGACAACAATACAAATAAAGACAGCTATGCAGTCTCTTGTAAGTTTTTGATATTGTTTATAAGTATCGAGGAAAAAGACTTGACCCTGTCAAGTGAATGTTCGTCATTGAATGACACATACAGTTTTCTAGATGCAATCAACAATGTAAATAGTCATTGTAAACATCACATTGATGATATACTTTCGTCGCAGGGAGGCAGATGAGCTGAAACTGAAAATATCAAAATTCAAGAGTGGAATTTCTATGCTACAAGAAAGAGGTCTTTGGGCCACACAACAACAGCTGCAAAAGGTTAAAAAAATATTGATAAAAACAACTGTAACAACTCCTAAAACTGTTCCATAGAACATTGTATAGCCTTTATGTGGCTCTACTTTCATATTAAATCTCAAATGTTTCCAGGTGTATCAAAAAGTATTAGTTTTGGATCTAGACTATGCATTGTATAAGAAAGTGGAACAGGACTTGTGGAATGTGGGCTTCAAACAACAGATTGAGGCCCTCCAGGCTATTTCAAAAGATAGAAAGGTATGTAAACTCTTTGCTTGTTACCTCATTAGTAAACAAATCATTAGTTTTGGTAACACAGATTATAAAGTAACTAACTTTTATTTGATAACATGTATGCTTGTGAACATGAACATGAGCATAAACAATACACATAATTAATCTTTTTCCTTGATTAATAATATAATCACATCCTTGATCATGCACATAAAACCGACTACTTCCTCTTATTCTGTTTAGAAACTCTTGGTAATAATTTTTCATTACATTATTAGGCATAAAACAACATTATTAACTAATTTATTGGCCACTGATTAATTACATTTTACCACAATGTGTTGTTTTAGAATCCCCTTCGCAGTGAGGGTCAGGCTATGCTGTCATGGGTGCTACAGGCTGCTGCAGGATTCTACCTCTGTCTGCTTCACCAGATCTGCACTACCTTCAAACTGGACTTGCCATTCAGGTAAACTACTGATATTAACTCGTCGAGTACCGGTTTTGTAGACACAATTATAGAACAATAGGTTGCGGTCACCGGTGACCGCTTGGTATTTGACAGTTTAAAGTCTAAACATTTAGTCATTTAGATAATGAAAGAAAATTTTGTAAATCAAATATTATCATAATGAACTTATCTATTAATATAGCTAGTTGGCTGTTTTAAAGTTTCCGGGTAAAATATTCTTTTATTATTTTATGTTAGTATCAGATGCTTACGAACAATAATTAAGATTGTTTTAGTACTTTACTTCCACATATTACGAATTTCAAACTCTTCGTTTACTCCCATGATTGAGATACTCAAAATGTGTTTCGGTTTCCAAAATGAGGCAACACCACATTTTATTTTCTTTAGCCACTTGAGGCTTGTGTTTTTATTCATATTTTTCTCTGTCTCCTAGACGTCGTGCCTCGCTGCTAGGGCTGGTGGAAGGCTGGGGTGCCGGGGAGACGGCGGTGGGCGCGCGCCTGCCGCCGCCGGCGTCCGCGCGGTACATCTGCCAACACTGCCTCGTACACCTCGGGGACCTCGCGCGGTACAGGCAACAGTTGCGCGTCGCTCACACATTCTATAGGTATATTTCTTCAACTTGTATTTTTTTTATTATGTGTTAAGAAGGAAGATTTATTGGATTGTAACTTACTTCATGTATAAATCAAAAGTATTGATAAAATCATCATTCAAGGAACATTGAAGTTACTTACCTAAATCTTCAAATGGAACTCTGGAATATTTAACCATCCTTCTTATGATTCTCATTTTGAATTTGATGCAATGATTAACACCAAATCTATTTGAGGAAGGGTTAAGAGAAAGAAACACTCATTACCTGCTTTAAATGCATTTTTAATAGCATAATACATAGACGTGATTCGTGTATGACGCAGACACGCCCTAGTGGTGTCGGCGCACTCGGGCCAGCCGTACAACCAGCTGGCGCTGGTGGCGTGGCGGCGCGGGCGGCGGCTGGGCGCGCTGTACTGGCACGTGCGCTCGCTGCTGGTGCGCGCGCCCTTCCCGCCCGCGCCCGCCAACCTCGCGCGCACGCTGCGCGCCGCCGCCGCGCTGCCGGGGTAACTCACATTGCTTCACATTCTTTTCTCCTACGTAACTAAGTTCCACTTGTATAACCCAACATTAATATGAAAACTAACTACAGCATAACTTTTTCAAATGTGCAACGAAGAGAAAATCAGCTCAAAAAATCAATACTAACTTCTATATTGAATCATATTTAACAGCAGTGACCCAAAAGACCTGCCAATGATCCCTGGCGTGACAGACGGCGCTGCGCAGACGCCGGCCCCGGTCCCCGGCCGACTGGACGCGCACTCATACGTCAGCGAACTCATCAGAGCCATACACTACATACATACTGTTGAAGAGTAAGTTGATTTACATAATGTCCTTCACAAACAATTAATGTTCACTAAGATGAATAATTTTTACATTTTCGACAATTCTTTCATACAAAACAACAGACGTTATATAAAAATTATCAGTTTTATTAGTCATGTTATAAGCATTGATGGGTGGTTACAGACTGGACACGGCGTCTGCGCTGGTCGACTCCCTCAACTCCTCGCTGACCGCACTCATCGCCACCGATAGCTTCGAGTCCATGACTCTCATCAAGGTTAGTATTTATTTTTAAACTACTTTTGAATTAATTTAAAAGTTTACAAATTGCACCTCTGTCGCTTTTGGCGCAATAATATTAATGAATAAAAATTAAACAAATAAAAAAGAATAAAAATATGAACCTGTCTCAATTCATAATTTTTTCGATTACTTTACCTAGTAGGAATAACCATCCGTTACATTTTTCATTTAAAAACACATTTTTATGTCACAGATGGCGTGCGTGATGATCTGGTTGGTCCACTCCAGCACGGACGGCCTGTCCGCGGACAGTGCGTCGCTGAGTGAGAGCGAGGCGCGCGCGGCCGGGCTGGCCTGCTCGCTGGCCTCGTCCAGTCTGCTGGCGCATCTACTGCCCGCGTACACTGCGCCCGCCCCGCCTGCTACTGCCTTACCTGCGTGTAAGCAACCAAGCTTTTAAAAACCAGTTAAAAGTTTTGACGCGACGCCAACATTTTGAACTAGCGTAGATGAAGTAGATCGCCCGAAAATAGCACTGCCATCTACGAAAATATCCACAAATACTTGTCGATCCGCCCAATTTTGTAAAATATTCATGAAATCATGTATATGTTACAAAGTCTATATTATATTTTGATACTCATTTGATCATTATCTTGTTTGCAAAATACAAAAAGCCGTGTTTATTCCAGTAAAAGTGTGGTTGTCGTGGTGCGAGTGCTCGTCGTCGCTGTGGACGTGGCGCGAGGCGCCGGCCGCGCTGTGGGCGGCGCTGGCGCACTCACTCAACGCGCTGCAGCCCGCCGCCGCGCTGCGACCCGACACCTGTCAGTCACTGCATGGCTAATACCTACACATTCATCATAATATCAGTCACAACACATCTCCTGCTGAACATCGGCCACTGAAGATCGGTTGGCCGTAAAATTAGTTATGAAACACAAACCTTTCAGAAGGTTTGGTGACAGCCACAGTCGTGACAAAACGAGAACTCATTAAAAAGATTCACTTACCCAACAATGTTAACATTTTTGCCATTTAAACGACACTTATACTGAGTCCATTATTGTAAAATTAAAATTGCCGAAAACAGTTGAACCATTCTAGACTAACCAATAGCACTTCTGCATTCAGAAAAACATTAACCGTTGCCAAACTTTAAAACTAAGAATGTAATTTGTTTCCTCAACTTTGTAGACGACAGTGTACCTTTACCGGAAGACGAAGAGTTAGCAGGGTTCCTACCGCTGGAGAATGCGCTAAAAGGGCTCCGGTTTCCAAACCATGCTGCCTGGGACACGTACGGAGGCCGAGTACCTGATCTAGATGAAGAGGCTGAAGATAGTAGTGCTGAGTGAGTCTTATGTCTTATGACATTTTTTTTTATATTTGATATAGTAAATGTTGCCTAAACTTGCGGTGACTGCAGGCGTAACTGTACTTGCCAGAGGTATATCTCTCATCAACAGTTTGTGTCTGTCGCCTACTGAACTCTGAGTCTACATAATGTCGACGCTTGGGAAGCATGTAAATAAAACATACAGAAGTAATATTTTCACAATTTTTATTTTACTCGACTTTTTGACAAAATTATGTTATACATTGTGATCAAGAGGTGACTGATGCAAAGAGTCGTCACTCTTGATACTGACAATATGTGTGGTCCCGGGCAGCCCGGGCGAGGTGCCGGTGACGTGCCTGTCGGGCTCCCCGGACCTGGAGCCGCGCGTCCGGGCGCACCGACTGCTGCAGCTCGGGAAGAAACTCGCTAACCAACATTCCGAACATCTCTCATACACGTGAGTTTTACAATATAGTTATAGTCTATACATCGATTATTTCCCTTTTAACCTTTCTCGAATATTTTTTATGAAAAGTAAAGTTAGTTATGTAATA